CCCGATAAACTAGCAGCAGCTAAGTCGGAATTTGAACATATGATGCAGTTAGGTATCATACGACCATCTAACAGCCCATGGTCTTCACCTCTGCACATGGTACCTAAAACTAATCATGACTGGCGACCATGTGGAGATTATCGCGCTTTGAATAACGCTACGGTACCAGATCGTTATCCTATACCTCATCTCCACGACTTCTCCTTGACCTTACATGGAAAGACCATTTTTACTAAAGTTGACTTGGTGAGGGCATATCATCAAATACCAGTCGCTCCAGAAGACATTGCAAAAACAGCAATTATTACGCCTTTTGGATTATTCGAATTCTTGAGAATGCCTTTCGGACTAAAGAATGCTGCTCAAACATTTCAGCGTTTTATGGACCAAGTTACCCAAGGTCTTGATTTCGTCTTTGTATATATCGACGATGTCTTAATTGCCAGCTCATCGACGGAAGAACATATGCAACACTTAAGCTTGTTATTTCAAAGGTTTGAACAATTTGGAGTTGTTATCAATCCAAAGAAATGTATTTTTGGTTCCCCTTCCATTGAATTCTTAGGACATCGAATAACTGCCGAAGGCATCAGACCTACCGAAGATAAGATAGAAACTATTAAGAACTTTCCCGAACCTGATTCCTTAAAGAAACTTAGACGTTTTCTCGGGATGTTCAACTTCTACCGACGTTTTATTCCATCATGTGCCTCCATAGTTCAGCCACTGACCGACCTACTTAGATGCAATTCGAAGAAATTTCAGTGGTCTGAAGAAGCAAAAGCAGCATTTAATAATGCAAAAGATGCCTTATCCAACGTCGTAATGTTATCTCACATCAACCCAGAAGCTTCACTCATTTTATGTACAGATGCATCACAGGTAGCAGTGGGAGCAGTTTTACAACAAAAGTTCAATAATGACATCACTCCACTTGCTTTCTTCTCCAAGAAATTGGAACCTGCGCAAACTCGTTACAGTACCTTTGGCAGAGAACTGTTAGCCATCTACCTAGCAGTGAAACATTTCAGCTTCTTACTACAAGGTCGACATTTTACTATCTTAACCGACCATAAGCCTCTTTGTTATGCTTTCACCACTTCGTTGGACAGACACTCTCCGAGAGAAGCCAGACAACTGGATTACATCTCACAATTCTCAACAGACATCCAGTTCATCAAAGGAGATTCCAATATCGTAGCCGATTCCTTGTCTCGATGTGACGTTAATCATCTATCTTCGATAGATATTAGCCTAGACAATATTGCCAAGCTGCAGAAAAATGACGCCGAACTCCATACTTGTAGACGAAACTCCTCCCTACAGTTGCAGGATGTACCTATTCCCCTGTCTGATACAACTATCGTCTGCGACGTTTCAACGGGCGTTCATAGACCTTTTGTTCCACTAAGTTGTCGAAAAGCATTGTTCGAACATTTACATTCGCTTTCTCACCCTGGAGTACGCGCCACGGTCAGACTGATCAGCGAACGCTTCGTGTGGCCTAAAATGAACTCTGACATTCGGAGATGGGCACGAGAATGTATCCAATGCCAATGCTCCAAAGTACACCGCCACACTATTACAACCCCGAAGACGTTTAAATTACCCGAAAGGAGATTTCAGCATATCCATATAGATATCGTGGGACCATTGCCAACATCAAGGGGATATACACATATCCTGACAGCGATTGATAGATTTACTCGTTGGGCTATTGCATGCCCCTTAAACGACATATCTGCTGAAAACGTTGCTTTAGTTTTTCTCGACCGTTGGGTGTCAAACTACGGTGTACCAACTACTATTACATCCGACCGCGGTCCTCAATTCCAATCGACACTCTTTCGCGAACTGACGAGACTTCTGGGAGTGAAACATATCTCCACAACAGCCTATCATCCGGCAGCGAATGGTCTAGTGGAAAGATTCCACAGACAACTGAAAAGCTCCCTGATGGCGCAGAATGATACATCTAAGTGGAGTGAATACTTACCTTTGATTTTACTTGGTATCCGTTCTACTATCAAAGAAGATTTAGGATGTACACCGGCTCAACTTGTCTATGGCACCAACCTAACCTTGCCTGGACAGCTAGTCCCCTCAGCCGATTCCACAGACGTGAACATTGCCGACTTCACTAACCGATTAACTAGACAAATGCTTCAACTTCAACCAACAGCACCTCGACAATCTCCCCGAAGAGATCAGATCAACAAACATCTACAAACTTGCAAATTCGTCTTCATTCGAGTCGACGCCATCAGAAAAGGATTGCAACCTCCATACGAAGGACCCTTTCAAGTTATTAAACGTTCAGACAAACACTTTACAGTGAACAAGAATGGAAGACGAGAGACTGTTTCAATTGATCGAATCAAACCCGCATACACCGACAACGACTTCGAATCTACATCGGCAGCTGCGCAATCAAATAATCAAACATCCGAATCCCCTCCACCGGCACCAAGTCTTATCCTCCCTCCATATCACACACGTAGTGGTCGGCAAATCAGTAAACCGGCTCGCTACGTTCATTTTGAGGACTAACAAAAGAAAAATAATTAAAAATTATTATTATCTTTTTCGTTTAGACATTATCATCATGACGGTTAGTATTTCGTCGTAAACTTTGATGTTACTATCACTATTATTTATTTATATGTACCTCACCGAAAAAACAGGTAGTGTCCTTTCCAAAAACTATTGATCTTTAATCCATATTTTTTTAAATGTTTCTTTCCCCTCCTTAATTACTGTGTATTTACATATTTTTCTTTATACATTAAAAATCTATGTTCATGGTTAGTGCAAATTTAAGTGACATGACTTTCTCTTTCAATTTTTATTGCTGAACCAATTGTATATGCTTTCAGACTTTACATGACTCACATACCTTCTCGCGTTTATGCATGTTGTAATATATCCCTATTTTTATCCAAAAGTTGCTATTACTATTATTATTTACTTCATAGTTTTACTTATCATTTCCCGGTTGTCTCTCCGGACCTCTAGGGGGGGAGCCGTGTTGAGTACGTAACAATGTGATTGTACACTTTTTGGTTACTTGTATAAATTCGAGATATTGTACATAATTTTTGTTTAAAACGCTTCTTGTTGAAATATACATAACTTCCGTGTACAATTGAAAAATACACTCTGCTGTTGGAGACTTCGTCTTCTCCCTGGTCACTTCTGCTTACTTGCTCCACTCACACCGTGTTGTATACTTCGGATTTATTGTAGGAGCCTACTACTCTCAACCGAAGACATTTCTACAACCGGAACACAGCAGCTACAGCAGACGCAGTCCAAACAATTAACGTGCCCGTGGATTATATAATTAATTTGTAGCCGAGGACTTAGACGTTATCTTCAAGTAATCCTTTTTGTTGCTATAACTCGTCACTGTATTTTTGGTAATATATTGTGATTTAACACTCCACTGACTTGGATTATTACTTTTATACTTGGAATGTTAGTGAACTCTAATATTAGTCCCCTACACATGTAGTCAACTTAAATGCATATATTTACAAAATAAAAACAGTTAAACAGTACATATTCACATTAAAAATGGTGGGAAAAAAATCACAGTTGTAGATTTTTTATGGGTACATGACTGTCAAATTAAAGTCTTTACAGCTTTCAGCACCACCTGATCCTTCATAAGAAACTGGTTATGACCTTTCCATGCAAAGATTGAGATTGTATTCCTTTGACCACCTCCGGCCACACTGAGAAATATCTAAGGATATATACATATCAGATGAATTAATCTTACCTCAGGTGAACAAACCCTAATCTTAGCAACAATGAATATGTGAACAAGGGAGGGAACAATAGTAGGATCGTTATGAACAGTCCATATATCCCATAATAAACTTGAAGAATCCTAAAACTTCAGATTTATCTTTCACACTTTCTCTTCTGCAAAATGCAAATGTTACACAAATGCCTCTACTCTCTGTCCGTTACAATCACCTGAAAATACTAAATCTTCAAACTTTATACTTCTTTGATTGAGTTACCCAATGATATTCTCTTTTTTAGTGGGTCCACATGCATGTCACATCTGTAGAATCTATACTTGCGTTAACTTGTGTCCTTAAGCTGAAAAAATGTAAAGTTTATACGACTTTATTATTATAATTTCAAAGCCCGACTCAGTAACGTGAGCTACGTATTAGCCGCAGCGTTTACGCAAAGTGAAATCTACCAATCACAGTATGCATATGTGACCTTGAGGTGCTCAGTCTCTCCATACACTAGATTGTCATCATATAGATCACGTAGCCATGTTTCTTGAAGTGATATGATCCCAGTATTATGATATATAATGGAAGACACCAGCGATTGAAGACAGTTAATTTTAGCCGGCATGGAGCGACAATTGGTACTCATAATTGCGGAAACAGTCATGAATTGAATAGGGATATTTTTTAATGCTCTCTGCCAGCCGGCATGATGCTTTTTCTTGTCTTTTTTATGGAGATGCAGATCAGTAGGTTTTAAGGATAATAAATACTCACGAGAATAAATAATCCGATTAGAGGTCATATTTGAATAAGATTTATTGATTAAAAATCAATTAGAAATGAGAAATTAGATGCAATATGATTTGTAATGTTTAAGGTAATTTGGTAGCCCAAGATTTAAGCAGGCCGCCATTAGCATTATTATTATTATTATTAACATCTCTCTTATCTTGTCGACGATACCGGAGGACTAACTGGTGAAAGGATCAACTCCATTCACAGTAGTAACAGTCTTGACACACCTCATACTACAAACCACATATAATTAATCCCAGCACTACTCCCTTTGCAGTCAACCAAAGCTACGACAGTCGGGCTACGCAGAAGTTTACCGAAGATCAGGAACCTATACCTTACAATCAAGAAGCAGGCACAAAGGAATCAAATTGGTTTATACTAGCTCGTAAAAACGATATTGGATATTGGAAGGGCGAAAATTTGCCAATGTGGCGGTTTCATGCATACACAAAGATACATTAGGTGCATTGATGGGTTTGCTTACAGGTCAGCATCCGGTGTTCACTGATGAATGCTGTGGGCAATAATTCTGGGGTATTACGTTTCGGTCTGCTATAGTTCAGAGTCACCATTGGATATTGAAAATAAAACCTTGAACTCACATGAGAAGTCTCCTAGTCAACGTTCAAGGTTGTCTGGGCGGCACGCTCCGTCGATTATCACTATTGCTTATAGTCTAACATGGATGAAAATCTGTCAATGAGTTATCTCGAGAGTCCCTTAGCTGAGTCTCCCTTTCTGGAAGACGATTTTTTTCACGTGAAGAGTTCGACTTGTTAAATCTAGCTATGGAAACTGATCGTACTGAAAGGTCTATTTCTCGAGAACCAGATAGCAATACCCAAGTAAGTCTGTCAGTAACTGTTACATGAAGTGTCAAAAATGTACATATGCACTATGCATAATGGGTAGTTCTGAATATAATTCACTCTTTGCTTCACTTACTTCAAAGCGAATTTGTTACTGATGATTTTAGAAGTCTGGACATCAAGCCAGCTAGCTTTACCTCTGGCATAATATTCAAATATTATGCCAGCTGACTGATGAGTCAGCTGTGTACAACCTTTTCAATAGAAACACTGTTATAATTTTACGTAAAGATGAAGCCAAACGTTAATTAATGCCAGTCGATTTGTTACTAAATCCAGACCAGTAGGTTAAGAAAAACAACTGATTTCTGCCCCGAACATAAACGAAAGTTACCAGTCATCAGTCCTTCTAGTATAACTGTGGTTTCGTGGGTCATCTGCAATCTTAAGCGAAACAGAGCAGCAGGATATGATGGAGTGATTCCAAAGGTGACAAACTGTCTGGGCCTAACTAAGGTTATGTTTGAGAATCAGATATGATTCTGCCAGATTAATGAAAATCATAGTATATCCTAGTTTATAAGAAGGGAGACAAGTCTGCCTGTGATAGCCATCAGGGAATTAGCTTGGCTAATATAGTATCTTAAGTGCTACGTTCACTCCTCAGTAGATTCCAGAACCTGTAATCCCATTATGGGTAAATTTTGTTTTGATAAAGTCTCACAGTGTAATACAGTAAGTAATGTTTACAGATCAGTAAGCATTCGTCCACAGATTCCCAACATAGTGTTGGAAATTACAATAAAGTGGCCAACTTCTATTGATCTAACGACCTTTTTGCAATGGTGAGGCTTGTAGAATCATTATTTTCTGCCAGTGTTGTAGCTCGTTGGTTCATTGGGATATGCAGGCCCAACCATTATGTCAAGGTAGCAGTTATCAGTCGGGATTAAGTCTCCAAAGAACCGTTAATTTCGATTTCGAAAGTTGTTTGATTAATTTGATATGATTGATTATGAGTCATAATTTGTGCTTGAAACATCACCCAGTGAACATTGTTTCAATGAAATCAAATAGCTCATATGAGATTGTGCTATGCCTGAATGTAGATGTACACTACTGTTATATCGTGTTACATTTTCATGCAGCAGTTTGACACATTTACAATTTAATGGTGACTTATCTAGTGAGATTCTATTCCAAAGACTTTCAAGGAGTGTACGAAGAACATTTTACTCAGCACACCTGTGTTTGTCATTCTCTAGCCGACGAATGATTGGGACGCAAACGAAGGATTAGCTTGGTAGTTTTGCCACTTTTATGTGTGTTTATCAATTAAACTGCACCTGCGATGACAGTTATGTTGGTCACACTACTAGACAGCTTAGCCAACGTGTTAGTGAACATCTCCCATCGTGGTGGTTTGGCAAAAGGACAGACAAAAACAATCCGTAGCTCAGTTTTGTCACACTCAGTTGATAGTGGTCATGTAGTGGAGAAAACGAGAGCTTTCAAAGCATTTCATGTTATCCCACAGAATCTTCTCAGTAGACTTCTTATTCGTCTACTGCTTACAGCTGAGGCGATAAGCATTCGAACTAATAGGCCTGAACAATGCATTCAAAAAAAGTTCGTACAGCTATTATCCCTCCCTTGGCCTATTAAGACATAACCAACTAAAGACTTCTACATCACCCCTTGTTTATATTTTCAACCCCTTTCTTATCATCCCTTAATCTTATCTTCATTATAAACGTGTTCCATTCCCTTCCCTTACAATCTCACATTACTTAATCGGTTCATTTGTTTTTACTAGCCTTTATCGACTACTTCCACCTGAACAATTGTTTGTTTAATCATACTGTTTTTCATTATTCGTGTTATCACAGATTGCCTCACTTTTTCATACTTTACTTACTTTACTTCGGCTATCTCCTACGGGAGGATGAGCCGGCTTCATGAACGTCTCGAATCATCGCTGCCCAGGCGCGGCGATCTGCAGCAAGGTTTTGCGATAGGGATATCCAATTCTTGTTCCACATACGGAGTCCGTAGACCGTTTGTAGCCCCAGGCACTCCATATCTGCCTTGACTGTACCAAGCCATGTCTTCAGCTGTCCGCCTCTGCGACATCGCCAAGATGGTAATGGCGAGGGATTTAGAACTGATTTGACCAGATCGTCATCTGGTCGGCGCAGAACATGGCCAAACCACCGAAGGCGGCGTTATTGGACCAGTACTGGAATTTGGTTGATGTTGTAGCAACGCCGACGCACTTCTTCGTTGGAGAGTTTGTCCTGCCAACGAACATGCAGAATGTACCTGAGACACCAATGGTCTAATACCTCGAGTCTGCGTAAATCTTCCGCGCGAAGAGGCCAGGTTTCACAGCCATACAGCAGAACGGGTCGTATGGAGGCTTGGTAGATCCGAATTTTAGTCCTGAGACTGATTTCTCTCTTGCTCCATAGAACGCTCCTCAGCTGTAGAAACGCATTCCGGGCGTTGGAGATTCGCGCATTCACTTCGTTTTTCGCTTGGCCGTTGGGGAGCATTATGGATCCCAGATATCTGAAGGATGGCACAATTTCAATAGGTGCTCCATTTATGGATAAGATTTCGTCATTGCTGGTGGATGTGTTCGAAAACATTTTGGTTTTGGAAGTGTTAATTTTCAAACCGATAGTAGACGCGAGGTGGTTTATCTGGTCGAGCGCCTGTTGCATATCGGGGAAGTTTTCAGCTAACAGCACGACGTCGTCGGCGAATTCGAGGTCGGTTATGTGAATATCGGGCGAAAGTTGGACGCCGTGGTGCTCGGTTAGGGCGTGCCGCAAAATCCAATCAACTGTGAAATTGAACAGGATGGGGGATGCTGGACAACCTTGCCGGACACCGCTGGTTACCTCAAAAGTGCGGGACTCTTCACCGTTCACTCGGATTCGAGCTTTGGTGTTGGAGTAGTATGACCTGAGCAGGTTGATTAGCTTGGTCGGAACTCCGTCGAGCTCCATTAGATACCAGAGTGCTCCTCGATCAACTGAGTCGAATGCCGCTTGGAAGTCGATGAAGCAAGCAACCGTCGGCTGTTGGAATTTGTCCCTGTGTTCCAAAATTCTTCGCAGTGTGAATAATTGATCAACACAGCCTCTTCCAGGTCGAAATCCGGCTTGATTTGGCCTTGTTCGCACGTGGCGTTCGGCCGCGAAGCGGTTCAGGAGAATGGAAACAAAAACCTTAGCAGCGATATCAATCAGACTTATGCCTCGGTAGTTCTCGCATATTGACCTGTCTCCCTTTTTGTGGAACGGTAGCAGAACTGAGGTGCTCCAATCGGAAGGAATGGTTTCGGACTCCCAAATTGAGCAGAACAGCGAGTGCAGTGCATCGATTAGCGCTGGAGTGCAGGCCTTGTATATTTCTGGGGGTAGACCATCTTCGCCCGGAGCTTTTTTGTTTCTGAGTGTGTTAATTGTGTTAGCTATTTCGGTTGGAGTGGGTGGATCGCAGTCAACTACGTAGGGTGTTGGTAAGTGTCGTATCGGTCGATGAGACGGTTGACCAGCGTCGCGATTGAGTAGCTGCTTGAAGTGTTCGGCCCATCGTTCCATCTTACCATTGGTGTCCGAAATAATTTCTCCTGATGCTGTGCGTAACACAGCATGACTGTTAAGGCGTTTGCCAGATGATTGGCGTAAGAGGCGATAAAGTTTTCCGAAATCGCCTACATTTCTTGCTGCTCACTTTTTCATCCTTATGATTCATAAAACTATTATTATTATTATGATTAATCGCACAATTTATAGTCACCATCTTATTATCCTATAGACAAAACACCATGATTGGTTTATATTTGAATGTTTACTGGTAAATTTATGTATATTAGAGTTAAGCCTGATGAGATCTCATTGAAACCACAATATTGTTCGCTTAAGTGTGTTGTTCTAAATTTTACTATGGGAATATTTAATACATTTTGTAATGTTTGCCGATTTTGTCCCACCTAAATAAGTCATAGTAAAATCTGATCATTAAAATCTGTAAAGATGTGGCTTCACGCTTTGTGTACAATAAGCAGACCTACTGAATTTAACATTACTTTGTTGTTTTTGTTTTGTGTTTCTCCCGACTGTAATATGTGTTTCAGCCAATCGCCACTCTCATTGAAAATGATGATGAAAAAATATTTCCTGATATGAGCAACTTACTTCCAAAGCTTCGTGAGTTAATAGATGTAAGTTGTTCATTCCTATATATATATATATACGATATATATTACGTTGAATTTACTTCAACTAACCTGCGTGATGCAAGTAAGGCTGGTAGATGCATTTTTCCTTCATCAGTTACATGTAAATACTCGGAAAATTCATTGAGTAAAGGCCTGACTATTGTTGACAGACAACATGAATTTTCCGAGTATTTACATGTAACTGATGAAGGAAAAATGCATCTACCAGCCTTACTTGCATCACGCAGGTTAGTTGAAGTAAATTCAACGTATATATATCGTATTTGTTTTCTTCTTGTTCATCTCCTTTCAGAAAATTCGTTGAAGCAGTTGATGTATTGAATACATTTTTGGATAACCAGACCTTAAATGCTGGCACTGTTGACGCTATGGTAACTCTGTTTTTTTTCGGAATTATTTATTGCGTGATTTTACAGGAAAACACGACAGTGATTGACAACCATTATCCAAATACTCAACCCTCTGAAGATCTTAATTTCGATGAATAAGAATCCGAAGGCATCTGCAAAGCGCCGTGTTCCAGAGGTGTGTGTGTGTGTGTGTGTGTGCGTGCGTAAATCTAAAAATGATTGAATTTCTGTAATTGTGTACATAAATAACAACAAAGAAATAACACAATGGAAAATGAAGAATCGGATTTTTACAAATTTAATACACTATTTAAATAAAATGGAATTTTATATGGAGTTATTACTTTTTCCCCTTCAAACTATTACTGACATAATCTGTATTGTCATCATGTGTATATTTACAGCCTGAAGTTGACAGCTACTGTAGTCCATAACATATCATTTGGACAAGGTCAACATAGGCAATGGACACTATTAAAGTAAGGGTGGAGATTAACAGATAAGCAGGAAGAATTTGTCTTGAATTAGACTGAATTCTTTTTTAACAACGTAGAACTTTATATAAAAGTGCAGTAGTTTAGTCATCTAGAATTTATATTAGTTAGTTTACTTGGTGTATGCAAAAGATATTAGTGTTTTTATCTCTCCTATTATTTAGCGGCCACTATCATACTAGTTAGAAATTGATGTTTTTGTTGTACTTGTTCGTTTAAGTGGTGTTTACATGCTGTAGTTTTAATTTTATTTCTTTAAACTCTAAGTGGGACACACAGGGCTCCAGTGTCTTCTTGGGCTTTGTAGTTTCGATAGCAGGCGGTGCTATGCTTAGGGGGTGGGGGAGGTTGCTAGCCTCATATCCAACTCTCCCTCTTTACTGGTCTATACTGTTGTGAGAGCTGGCTGCTAGCCAAAGTTTATTATTTTTCCTTGGGTTCCTAGTGGAACATAGGGCTTCAACTGCACGTCACCACTTACTTCTGTCTTCTGCTGTACTTTTCACCTGCATCCATGTTAGTTAGTCCATACTCTTTCAACTCCTCTACACACGATCTCCTCCATGTCACCTTTGCACTAACGACCCACTCGCCGCTTCCCTTTCGGACTCGTTCCACTCGAGCAATGGCCTGACGCGCTCGCGATGTCACCCAGCGACGGCCTCCTCAGCGAGTGTCCATGTCCACCTTCTCCTGCATATTTGTTGGTTGGCGATTGGTTCTTGTTTCATTCCTTCCCATAGTTTCTTGTTGGTGATTCTTTTCGGCCCAGCCATCTGATCTTCAGTATAGATCCACCGAAGACAGTTGTTGTTAATAAAGGTCTGCAACAGGCTGTTGGAAATATTCTTTGTGACCCACCCGCCAAGTTTCTGGTCCGTTCCGTATAGAAGAACCGACTGACTTTACGTTTGTATTGAAAATCCGACTAAATTTTGTTGTTGATGCTGGCTGAGTGACGAAGATTTCCAGATTGATTTCAGGTTGATGAATGTGTTTCTCACCTTCCCGATTCTCGCTCGATTTGACATCCTCGTTCCTTCCTCCTGCTTGTAGTTGAGACAATGCTCCCTAGATAAGCGAGTGAATGAAGTAATCTCTTTCAAATCCCTCCCATTGATGGTGGTAGTGATTGGCGCTGGATGTTGCTGCTGTTGTTGTTGTTGCTGTTGGTTGGTTATTTTCACAACTTCTCTCTTGTCTATGGCTAGCCAAAGTTGGCAGACAGTAATTTACGTCAATGTTTATGTCCCCAATATTGGTCGTGAGAAAAATGAGAACAAAGCTTTCCGTAGGCGGATACAGTTAACATATAGATGATCTGACATTCAAGAAACAGCCACAAAGAGATGAAAGATTAACTTTCAGTGAGAAACAACCAATTAGAGGATTGTGTTTTTCTGCTAACAATGATCTATAATAATTTCCATGAAAATCTATAAATATGTGTTGATTTCCATAATAAACGATTTGTTGCCATGCCCTTGTCTTCTGTCGTTACAATATTACCGACAGCGAAGTTTAGGAGTGCATCTGTTAAGGATTGAACGCTGGACCACTTACGTGGTTGGCAAAATTCCTACTGCTGAACCACCGACGACTTACACCACATACTGTTACATAGTTGGCGAACTAATTCACTTCAGAGGGGTTAACGATTAATTCCAAGCATTATGAAGAACGCCAAATTGTATACGTTGCCCAAAGGGTAATTCTTGTGGTTCAATAGGAAGACTTTGGGAGAGGTTTGGAATGATATGTCTGCCTACTGGTCGTAGGGGGAGCCTCGTTCGTTGGGAAAAATCTTAGAAAGGGCGAAACTATTGTCTTAGGTTTCATTTCTAGCCACTGCTACACATGTAGGATCTAGGTACTAAGATTAGTCGACTGTATTGATAAGAGGTAATAGTTGTTCAGCCTATACCGGGAGACGAAGCTCGATATGCTTTCCATATCATAATGCAATATTAGCAATTGACTTCGTTAATCCAGTCTACACCTCCCTACATTGCTGGATTAAAGTAACTGTTGTGGATTTCATTGACTGGTGCCAGGATTCGGTTTGACCACCACTGTCTCCTTTCCAACCTGATTCATCCTATGCCATTATTGTTATAAGTATAAAACTTGGGCATTGTGGTAGAGTATAACTCCATTATGGATAAGATTTTATTTTGATAAATCACACAGTGTTGTACAGTTATATTAATTATGCCAGCTGACATTTCCCGTTGTGGAAGGCGATGGCTAGGCATGCGTAACATATATCCTAACCATCTCAGTCGATGTAACTTCACAACCTCGTCGACTAATTTCCCCTCCTTATCTAACACTCGACCGATGCCTCACCTCGATATTGCTCACCCCATTACACCACTCCACACGGGAGATAGAACGCAGACACCTATGATCAAAAACAGCTATCCTTTTCACGTCTTCCACTTTCAATGGCCATGTCTCGCAGTCATAAAGGAGGACGGAGCGGACTGCTGAACAATACATACAGCCAGCCGGATATCTGGTCTCCTCCAGAGATGGAGTAACTTGGCTAATAAATGAAAACGAGCCTTCTGTATCCGTGCTGAGATTTCGTCAACGATCAACCCGTTGGGGCTGATGCAACTTGTCAAATAAATGAAGTGGTCAGTCAACACGCTCCACAAACCATTCCATCCTCTATCTTTAAGCTAGAATTCAATGTAGTCCAGTCCTGTAGCTCCATTATGGATAAGATTTTATTTTGATAAATCACACAGTGTTATACAGTTATATTAACTGATGATGTTTCGAGCACAAACTATTGGCCCTCATAATCATATCAAGTTACTCACACAACTTTTTCCTTCATTTATATACATGAGTAAAATTGATGATTAGACATTTCAATGAAAATCAATTTAGGATAATGTACATTCAGAAATAATAATACGAGTGTTATTGATCAAATACAATCAGATGGGAAATAAATAAGACGAGTGTTTTTATAGTCATTAATAAGTAACTTGTGATGTGCTTGAACTGAAATAGAATTTTGAGATTATTTATTGTCCTCTTCTGATTTGACTGATTGGTGGCATTAATATATTCCATATTTCTGGTTATTGCACAGATTCATTCCTATTGCATGTGTTGGGTGTAGAATCGATGAACATGGATGCAGTAATCGACCTCCCTCTCTCCACCTAGCTTCATTACATTTTAGAATTTTAACCCTCTCCCACCCTATTGTGTGTTAATCCTTGCAGTGCAATTGCTGAGCTTTTTTCTAAATCACTTATCTTCTCGGGTCAACTATTCCTACCTTAGCTAAATTCTTATGTTCTGACAACCTGACTACTCCTGACATACTAGTTTGACCTATGTAGTTGACCTCATAGTCATTGCAGGGTATTTTGTAAATTATATTATTATGCCTAATTGGGTCAACAGGTTCACAAAATACCCTGCAATGACTATGAGGTCAACTACATAGGTCAAACTAGTATGTCAGGAGTAGTCAGGTTGTCAGAACATAAGAATTTAGCTAAGGTAGGAATAGTTGACCCGAGAAGATAAGTGATTTAGAAAAAAGCTCAGCAATTGCACTGCAAGGATTAACACACAATAGGGTGGGAGAGGGTTTAAATTCTAAAATGTAATGAAGCTAGGTGGAGAGAGGGAGGTCGATTACTGCATCCATGTTCATCGATTCTACACCCAACACATGCAATAGGAATGAATCTGTGCAATAACCAGAAATATGGAATATATTAATGCCACCAATCAGTCAAATCAGAAGAGGACAATAAATAATCTCAAAATTCTATTTCAGTTCAAGCACATCACAAGTTACTTATTAATGACTATAAAAACACTCGTCTTATTTATTTCCCATCTGATTGTATTTGATCAATAACACTCGTATTATTATTTCTGAATGTACATTATCCTAAATTGATTTTCATTGAAATGTCTAATCATCAATTTTACTCATGTATATAAATGAAGGAAAAAGTTGTGTGAGCAACTTGATATGATTATGAGGGCCAATAGTTTGTGCTCGAAACATCATCAGTTAATATAACTGTATAACACTGTGTGATTTATCAAAATAAAATCTTATCCATAATGGAGCTACAGGACTGGACTACATTGAATTCTAGCTTAAAGATAGAGGATGGAATGGTTTGTGGAGCGTGTTGACTGACCACTTCATTTATTTGACAAGTTGCATCAGCCCCAACGGGTTGATCGTTGACGAAATCTCAGCACGGATATAGAAGGCTCGTTTTCATTTATTAGCCAAGTTACTCCATCTCTGGAGGAGACCAGATATCCGGCTGGCTGTATGTATTGTTCAGCAGTCCGCTCCGTCCTCCTTTATGACTGCGAGACATGGCCATTGAAAGTGGAAGACGTGAAAAGGATAGCTGTTTTTGATCATAGGTGTCTGCGTTCTATCTCCCGTGTGGAGTGGTGTAATGGGGTGAGCAATATCGAGGTGAGGCATCGGTCGAGTGTTAGATAAGGAGGGGAAATTAGTCGACGAGGTTGTGAAGTTACATCGACTGAGATGGTTAGGATATATGTTACGCATGCCTAGCCATCGCCTTCCACAACGGGAAATGTCAGCTGGCATAATTAATATAACTGTACAACACTGTGTGATTTATCAAAATAAAATCTTATCCATAATGGAGTTATACTCTACCACAATGCCCAAGTTTTATACTTATAACAATAATGGCATAGGATGAATCAGGTTGGAAAGGAGACAGTGGTGGTCAAACCGAATCCTGGCACCAGTCAATGAAATCCACAACAGTTACTTTAATCCAGCAATGTAGGGAGGTGTAGACTGGATTAACGAAGTCAATTGCTAATATTGCATTATGATATGGAAAGCATATCGAGCTTCGTCTCCCGGTATAGGCTGAACAACTATTACCTCTTATCAATACAGTCGACTAATCTTAGTACCTAGATCCTACATGTGTAGCAGTGGCTAGAAATGAAACCTAAGACAATAGTTTCGCCCTTTCTAAGATTTTTCCCAACGAACGAGGCTCCCCCTACGACCAGTAGGCAGACATATCATTCCAAACCTCTCCCAAAGTCTTCCTATTGAACCACAAGAATTACCCTTTGGGCAACGTATACAATTTGGCGTTTTTCATAATGCTTGGAATTAATCGTTAACCCCTCTGAAGTGAATTAGTTCGCCAACTATGTAACAGTATGTGGTGTAAGTCGTCGGTGGTTCAGCAGTAGGAATTTCGCCAACCACGTAAGTGGTCCAGCGTTCAATCCTTAACAGATGCACTCCTAAACTTCGCTGTCGGTAATATTGTAACGACAGAAGACAAGGGCATGGCAACAAATCGTTTATTATGGAAATCAACACATATTTATAGATTTTCATGGAAATTATTATAGATCATTGTTAGCAGAAAAACACAATCCTCTAATTGGTTGTTTCTCACTGAAAGTTAATCTTTCATCTCTTTGTGGCTGTTTCTTGAATGTCAGATCATCTATATGTTAACTGTATCCGCCTACGGAAAGCCTTTGTTCTCATTTTTCTCACGACCAATATTGGGGACATAAACATTGACGTAAATTACTGTCTGCCAACTTTGGCTAGCCATAGACAAGAGAGAAGTTGTGAAAATAACCAACCAACAGCAACAACAACAACAGCAGCAACATCCAGCGCCAATCACTACCACCATCAATGGGAGGGATTTGAAAGAGATTACTTCATTCACTCGCTTATCTAGGGAGCATTGTCTCAACTACAAGCAGGAGGAAGGAACGAGGATGTCAAATCGAGCGAGAATCGGGAAGGTGAGAAACACATTCATCAACCTGAAATCAATCTGGAAATCTTCGTCACTCAGCCAGCATCAACAACAAAATTTAGTCGGATTTTCAATACAAACGTAAAGTCAGTCGGTTCTTCTATACGGAACGGACCAGAAACTTGGCGGGTGGGTCACAAAGAATATTTCCAACAGCCTGTTGCAGACCTTTATTAACAACAACTGTCTTCGGTGGATCTATACTGAAGATCAGATGGCTGGGCCGAAAAGAATCACCAACAAGAAACTATGGGAAGGAATGAAACAAGAACCAATCGCCAACCAACAAATATGCAGGAGAAGGTGGACATGGACACTCGCTGAGGAGGCCGTCGCTGGGTGACATCGCGAGCGCGTCAGGCCATTGCTCGAGTGGAACGAGTCCGAAAGGGAAGCGGCGAGTGGGTCGTTAGTGCAAAGGTGACATGGAGGAGATCGTGTGTAGAGGAGTTGAAAGAGTATGGACTAACTAACATGGATGCAGGTGAAAAGTACAGCAGAAGACAGAAGTAAGTGGTGACGTGCAGTTGAAGCCCTATGTTCCACTAGGAACCCAAGGAAAAATAATAAACTTTGGCTAGCAGCCAGCTCTCACAACAGTATAGACCAGTAAAGAGGGAGAGTTGGATATGAGGCTAGCAACCTCCCCCACCCCCTAAGCATAGCACCGCCTGCTATCGAAACTACAAAGCCCAAGAAGACACTGGAGCCCTGTGTGTCCCACTTAGAGTTTAAAGAAATAAAATTAAAACTACAGCATGTAAACACCACTTAAACGAACAAGTACAACAAAAACATCAATTTCTAACTAGTATGATAGTGGCCGCTAAATAATAGGAGAGATAAAAACACTAATATCTTTTGCATACACCAAGTAAACTAACTAATATAAATTCTAGATGACTAAACTACTGCACTTTTATATAAAGTTCTACGTTGTTAAAAAAGAATTCAGTCTAATTCAAGACAAATTCTTCCTGCTTATCTGTTAATCTCCACCCTTACTTTAATAGTGTCCATTGCCTATGTTGACCTTGTCCAAATGATATGTTATGGACTACAGTAGCTGTCAACTTCAGGCTGTAAATATACACATGATGACAATACAGATTATGTCAGTAATAGTTTGAAGGGGAAAAAGTAATAACTCCATATAAAATTCCATTTTATTTAAATAGTGTATTAAATTTGTAAAAATCCGATTCTTCATTTTCCATTGTGTTATTTCTTTGTTGTTATTTATGTACACAATTACAGAAATTCAATCATTTTTAGATTTACGCACGCACACACACACACACACACACACACCTCTGGAACACGGCGCTTTGCAGATGCCTTCGGATTCTTATTCATCGAAATTAAGATCTTCAGAGGGTTGAGTATTTGGATAATGGTTGTCAATCACTGTCGTGTTTTCCTGTAAAATCACGCAATAAATAATTCCGAAAAAAAACAGAGTTACCATAGCGTCAACAGTGCCAGCATTTAAGGTCTGGTTATCCAAAAATGTATTCAATACATCAACTGCTTCAACGAATTTTCTGAAAGGAGATGAACAAGAAGAAAACAAATACGATATATATACGTTGAATTTACTTCAACTAACCTGCGTGATGCAAGTAAGGCTGGTAGATGCATTTTTCCTTCATCAGTTACATGTAAATACTCGGAAAATTCATGTTGTCTGTCAACAATAGTCAGGCCTTTACTCAATAACTCTAACAACTGACATAACTCGGAATGAACAGGTTCTGTGACATTTTGCCTCCCTCTTTGCTAAATAATCAACCATAAAATAAAGAAATTATACATATATATTTCTTTATTTTATGGTTGATTATTTAGCAAAGAGGGAGGCAAAATGTCACAGAACCTGTTCATTCCGAGTTATGTCAGTTGTTAGAGTTATTGAGTAAAGGCCTGACTATTGTTGACAGACAACATGAATTTTCCGAGTATTTACATGTAACTGATGAAGGAAAAATGCATCTACCAGCCTTACTTGCATCACGCAGGTTAGTTGAAGTAAATTCAACGTATATATATATATATATATATATATATATATATATATATATATATATAGGAATGAACAACTTACATCTATAAACTCACGAAGCTTTGGAAGTAAGTTGCTCATATCAGGAAATATTTTTTCATCATCATTTTCAATGAGTGGCGATTGGCTGAAAAACATATTACAGTCGGGAGAAACAAAAAAAAAAAAACAAAGTAATGTTAAATTCAGTAGGTCTGCTTATTGTACACAAAGCGTGAAGCCACATCTTTACAGATTTTAATGATCAGATTTTACTATGACTTATTTAGGTGGGACAAAATCGGCAAACATTACAAAATGTATTAAATATTCCCATAGTAAAATTTAGAACAACACACTTAAGCGAACAATATTGTGGTTTCAATGAGATCTCATCAGGCTTAACTCTAATATACATAAATTTACCAGTAAACATTCAAATATAAACCAATCATGGTGTTTTGTCTATAGGATAATAAGATGGTGACTATAAATTGTGCGATTAATCATAATAATAATAATAGTTTTATGAATCATAAGGATGAAAAAGTGAGGCAATCTGTGATAACACGAATAATGAAAAACAGTATGATTAAACAAACAATTGTTCAGGTGGAAGTAGTCGATAAAGGCTAGTAAAAACAAATGAACCGATTAAGTAATGTGAGATTGTAAGGGAAGGGAATGGAACACGTTTATAATGAAGATAAGATTAAGGGATGATAAGAAAGGGGTTGAAAATATAAACAAGGGGTGATGTAGAAGTCTTTAGTTGGTTATGTCTTAATAGGCCAAGGGAGGGATAATAGCTGTACGAACTTTTTTTGAATGCATTGTTCAGGCTTATTAGTTCGAATGCTTATCGCCTCAGCTGTAAGCAGTAGACGAATAAGAAGTCTACTGAGAAGATTCTGTGGGATAACATGAAATGCTTTGAAAGCTCTCGTTTTCTCCACTACATGACCACTATCAACTGAGTGTGACAAAACTGAGCTACGGATTGTTTTTGTCTGTCCTTTTGCCAAACCACCACGATGGGAGATGTTCACTAACACGTTGGCTAAGCTGTCTAGTAGTGCGACCAACATAACTGTCATCGCAGGTGCAGTTTAATTGATAAACACACATAGAAGTGGCAAAACTACCAAGCTAATCCTTCGTTTGCGTCCCAATCATTCGTCGGCTAGAGAATGACAAACACAGGTGTGCTGAGTAAAATGTTCTTCGTACACTCCTTGAAAGTCTTTGGAATAGAATCTCACTAGATAAGTCACCATTAAATTGTAAATGTGTCAAACTGCTGCATGAAAATGTAACACGATATAACAGTAGTGTACATCTACATTCAGGTATAGCACAATCTCATATGAGCTATTTGATTTCATTGAAACAATGTTCACTGGGTGATATTTCAAGCACAAATTATGACTCATAATCAATCATATCAAATTAATCAAACAACTTTCGAAATCGAAATTAACGGTTCTTTGGAGACTTAATCCCGACTGATAACTGCTACCTTGACATAATGGTTGGGCCTGCATATCCCAATGAACCAACGAGCTACAACACTGGCAGAAAATAATGATTCTACAAGCCTCACCATTGCAAAAAGGTCGTTAGATCAATAGAAGTTAGCCACTTTATTGTAATTTCCAACACTATGTTGGGAATCTGTGGACGAATGCTTACTGATCTGTAAACATTACTTACTGTATTACACTGTGAGACTTTATCAAAACAAAATTTACCCATAATGGGATTACAGGTTCTGGAATCTACTGAGGAGTGAACGTAGCACTTAAGATACTATATTAGCCAAGCTAATTCCCTGATGGCTATCACAGGCAGACTTGTCTCCCTTCTTATAAACTAGGATATACTATGATTTTCATTAATCTGGCAGAATCATATCTGATTCTCAAACATAACCTTAGTTAGGCCCAGACAGTTTGTCACCTTTGGAATCACTCCATCATATCCTGCTGCTCTGTTTCGCTTAAGATTGCAGATGACCCACGAAACCACAGTTATACTAGAAGGACTGATGACTGGTAACTTTCGTTTATGTTCGGGGCAGAAATCAGTTGTTTTTCTTAACCTACTGGTCTGGATTTAGTAACAAATCGACTGGCATTAATTAACGTTTGGCTTCATCTTTACGTAAAATTATAACAGTGTTTCTATTGAAAAGGTTGTACACAGCTGACTCATCAGTCAGCTGGCATAATATTTGAATATTATGCCAGAGGTAAAGCTAGCTGGCTTGATGTCCAGACTTCTAAAATCATCAGTAACAAATTCGCTTTGAAGTAAGTGAAACAAAGAGTGAATTATATTCAGAACTACCCATTATGCATAGTGCATATGTACATTTTTGACACTTCATGTAACAGTTACTGACAGACTTACTTGGGTATTGCTATCTGGTTCTCGAGAAATAGACCTTTCAGTACGATCAGTTTCCATAGCTAGATTTAACAAGTCGAACTCTTCACGTGAAAAAAATCGTCTTCCAGAAAGGGAGACTCAGCTAAGGGACTCCGAGATAACTCATTGACAGATTTTCATCCATGTTAGACTATAAGCAATAGTGATAATCGACGGAGCGTGCCGCCCAAACAACCTTGAACGTTGACTAGGAGACTTCTCATGTGAGTTCAAGGTTTTATTTTCAATATCCAATGGTGACTCTAAACTATAGCAGACCGAAACGTAATACCCCAGAATTATTGCCCACAGCATTCATCAGTGAACACCGGATGCTGACCTGTAAGCAAACCCATCAATGCACCTAATGTATCTTTGTGTATGCATGAAACCGCCACATTGGCAAATTTTCGCCCTTCCAATATCCAATATCGTTTTTACGAGCTAGTATAAACCAATTTGATTCCTTTGTGCCCGCTTCTTGATTGTAAGGTATAGGTTCCTGATCTTCGGTAAACTTCTGCGTAGCCCGACTGTCGTAGCTTTGGTTGACTGCAAAGGGAGTAGTGCTGGGATTAATTATATGTGGTTTGTAGTATGAGGTGTGTCAAGACTGTTACTACTGTGAATGGAGTTGATCCTTTCACCAGTTAGTCCTCCGGTATCGTCGACAAGATAAGAGAGATGTTAATAATAATAATGCTAATGGCGGCCTGCTTAAATCTTGGGCTACCAAATTACCTTAAACATTACAAATCATATTGCATCTAATTTCTCATTTCTAATTGATTTTTAATCAATAAATCTTATTCAAATATGACCTCTAATCGGATTATTTATTCTCGTGAATATTTATTATCCTTAAAACCTACTGATCTGCATCTCCATAAAAAAGACAAGAAAAAGCATCATGCCGGCTGGCAGAGAGCATTAAAAAATACCCCTATTCAATTCATGACTGTTTCCGCAATTATGAGTACCAATTGTCGCTCCATGCCGGCTAAAATTAACTGTCTTCAATCGCTGGTGTCTTCCATTATATATCATAATACTGGGATCATATCACTTCAAGAAACATGGCTACATGATCTATATGATGACAATCTAGTGTATCTAAATAACTTCAAATTATTCAGACAAGATTGGTGTAGTTCCAGGAAGAAACGCGGTGGCGGTGTCGCCATCTTCATCAATTCACAATGGTGTACGTCTAATAATGTATGTTTCAAATTCTCTAGTGACAATATTGACTGTCTCACCGTTAGGTATCGACCTAAACATTTGTCAAAATACAACTACATTTACATCTCGAATATTTATATTGCTCCTGGATGCAACTTCACAGAATTATCTTTATTTGCGGATGAATTTACCTCCCTTGCTGCCACCTCCTTCGGAAATTCCTTGTCTATAGTTACTGGCGATTTCAATTCTAGTGATCACAGCTTCCTAATTTTACTCGGACACGATAACATTGTCAACTTCCCGACTAGAATGGATAACACTCTTGATCTTGTGTTTACAAATGACGCAAAAATATTTGAAGCTCGAAAAGGAGCCCCACTACTAAATTCAGATCACTGTATCATAAGAATATTGCCCAAAGTATATGGAAAGCAGCACAAAAGGGTCTTCTCACACCTTGGAAAGAAAACACAACACAGATGTTATTCCCATGACAACATACTGAATCTAAGGTCCATGTTGAAAGACACTAACTGGGATCTATTTACTGAACAAGCTCTTGATAACACAATTACCAACATAACACATTATCTTAATTTCTGTCTTGATGTTTGTTGTCCAAAGGAGACAGTCTTCTTAAAATTTGATCGCTTCACCTCTTCTCAACTCAAAAAGCTCCGCCGTGAAAAAGAAAGGTTGTTCAAAACGAAAAATAAATCTGGTGTTAAGAAAATGGACAATTTGATTAAGCTTGAATTACAAAGATTGAGTGCTCTCTATAACCAGAAGTTTCTTCCATGTAAATCCCCATGAAATATGTGGAAGTTATTAAAGGAAATCACAGGTGGTAGGCAAATGATGAATGATATTTCTGTAGATGTTAACATGCTTAATGAGTCCTTCATATGTATCCCAGCAAATGTTATGATTCCTAACTCAAATAGTGTAAATAATGACTGCTTCTCTTGCTTTAACACGAATGATGTCCTCAAGTGTCTTCAATCTCTCAAACCTACTCAGTCCCTTGGTCCTGATGGTGTTCCTGCTGTTATCCTTAAGAAGCGTGCCGACATCTTGTGTTCCCCTTTAACTGACATTTTCAACGAATCGTTTTCCAAAAGTATTATACCTAACTCATGGAAAAATATCAAGATTGTTCCAGTGCCTAAATCAACAAGTGGACCTAATGTTAAGTTTAGACCCATTGCAATTACCTCACCTTTTCTGAAAGTTATGGAAAGACTTATTTCTCTTAATCTTGATCCCTCTTTAAAGCTTTTCAACGACCCCAACCAGTTTGCTTATAAACACAGTAGGTCTACGTTAGATGCCGCTGTTGTCCTGCATCATAGTATAGTCTCTAGTTTAGATAAAAGAGCTAAATACGACAGTGGATTAGCCGTATACGCCAGGGAGGCTAGCGCTGAGGATGACATGCCCACATAGACAGGGATTAGCTGTGGAATCAATGATTCAGAATGAATGTTGTGATTCAGGCTGTGGTGCCACACGCCGGGGAGCGAGAATGTAGATGACTGAGGCTTGCATACGTCACCGCTACTAAACCTGAAACAGAATGAGTAATAAGCGATTGCATTGGTAATTGGTAGTGAATGGATAAGAGGATGTGTGAAGAGTATCATGGGATGCTGTTATGGTCACGTTGCTTTTTGCAAGAGTCATTCTAGCAAGTGGCGATTGTGTTGCAAGATGTCAAGAGGATGTCTTTAACTGGAAGGCGTGGGTCGTCGTTGTCGTCGGGTGAGATTGTGCTGTGGGTGTGCCTGTGGTGTGTTGGCTTTGCCGTTTGCTTTTCATTTCAGCTTTGTCCATGTGGCCCAGGTTCTCGCACTGGCATCCAAGTCAACGTGTATTGGTCGTGATGGAAAAAAGGGATGGATCCGTTTTTCCCCGGAGAGTGTCAATGTAGTTGAAGATTGAACAATCAGTTCATGGTTGTTTGCTCAAACCCAACTCTATATTTTGGTGGGAGTCACCGATACTGCAGTCATCGTTCCATCGTTCTCTGTCATTTGAGGACAGAGAAATACATTCAGGAGTATTATTGTGATTAGTTGTTATGACAATTATTCTTAGACCTTGTGTATAATAACCATATTTTTGGTTACATATTGGCGTAAGAATGAAGGATTCTCGAGTCGCCAGTCTGTGTTCTGGTTTTTCGCGTTGGTTATCACAAATTGTTGCTGTAAGTCTTCCAGGGACAGCGTGAGGTCAAGCGTAGCAGAAGCTGGACACAGACAAACCCAGCTCTCTCCTGCATTGAGAAGATTAGAAAGGAATGTGAGGTTCCCTCGGAAGCCATGCTGTGCACTAGATAACTAATTGTTGTTCTCCAGATATGCCGTGACGCTTTTCTTGATGATTTTTTGCAGTGTCTTGATCAAGGTTCTTTAGGGACTTGTAGGCTTGTAGTTTGAAGGGAACTGTATTGATCTTTCTTTGTTGTTAGATGTTACTACGGCGTCTTTCCAGTCGCGCGGTAACACCTCATTTAGGAGAGGTTGCTCGAAAATCATGGTCAGTAGGTCGGCTAAGTGAGCTGATAACTCCTTGAGAAGCCTTGGATGAAAATTATCATGGCCCACTGACTTTTCTTCATCTAGCTTCATCAGGCAGTTGAGCACAATATCTTGGTCAGCATCAACGGAGTCTATCATGTGTTCCTCTGACGCAGACAGAGCTGACCCGAGAGGGAGTGACAACTCCTGTGTAAAGACTTGGGAGAAGTAGTCTGCCATAGTTTCTGCTTCTTCTTATTCTTCAATTGTGTCATTGTCAGTAGTCAGATTTGGTACACCATTGGACGTCTTGTTCCTGAAGTTCATGTATCGCGAATTTCTTTTTTTTACTGTTGCATTTTGAGCCAGGTGTGCTTTGAATTTCATCCTTGAATGACGGATTTCTCCAATAGCCCTGCTTCTATTTGTGCTATATTTTCCAGGTCTCAGGAATGTCAAGTGTGGGAAACAGGTTCCAGTACTCGTGTTCACGTCTCAGTAACTTACGAATATCTAGATTTATCCAAGTGGAGGGAATGTTTCAGGCTCTTCGGGATAATCTAAGGGATGAAAGTTTCAGTTACTTGGGCGTAAAGTTTTTTAAACTGGTTTCATGCGGTGTTTAGTAAAGACTCGGAGTTGATGCATCATTTCAATGAGTCAGCTGCTGGGACGTTCACATTTATATCAGCTTTCCAAATGTTTGGTCGAGCTGGTGTTTTGGTCCGTGAGACTGCTGCTGTGAACTTGAAAGTGAGCACAGCATGATCACTTCTTCCTAAAGGAGGAGGATGTTGTACGAGGTTGACATCCTCACCATGGGAGAACACCAAATTCACGGCTGGTGAGCAGTGCCGTGAGTCACTGCACATGGGCTTCATGATATGTTAGACTAGGGATAGATAAATGCTGGATTCCTGCGGTTTATAACCAAAAGGGTTGTCTGAAGATGTCTTCGTACGGCTTGTCCAGTGAACTGTTGGGACACTTCAGTTTCCGACTACGAGACTCCGACATTTCGAGGCTAGGAGCCTAGTTTCGCTCCTGGGCGTATAGCGATAGTGTGAATATATTGGCCAATACATCTAGGCCTGCAGTGTAGTAGATCGCATGATTCATTTTCGCGTTCGGGAGCTTCGATAATATGCACGTTTAAACATTTCTTCAGATAGATGTCTACGCCAAATCTTTTGCGATATAGTGGGTCCACGATATGAACATCGAAAATTCGCAGGTTAACTTCGAACGCTGACACCCTGAAAACCCTTGATATTAATGTTTTCTCGCCGTTTTGATGCCGTTCGCTTAATTATAGAGCCACAGACTGTCTTTTCACACGGTCTGCTAGGGTTAAATCGGCACGGACATATATACTTGACCCTTTAAGAATTTGAGAGTTGCTTAGAATCACTATACGCATACACTAGTAATATATACATACATATATGCAATGTTAAGCGCCATTCCGAACAGTAATAATCATACACAATGGAAACTTTTCAGCATTTTGCATACAGATGAAAGAAATATGAAAAATATGCAGCTATCAGGGCAAAGAAAGGCTGATAACCGCTTCTTTCTGGACGCATAAATCAGGTTTCAGGCGCTTGATGGAAATGGCTTCGGTAAACTTAAGGAGAATTGAACTCTTTTGCCTATTGATAATTTTGAACGACTTTTCGACGTCCACCTCATGACCCAATTTCGAGGAGATGCCTGGCGATGGCACTGTTTAAAGCATTTGTTACTTTTAGAAATAGGATTTTTGGTACATGTTCAGAAAATCGCATATATGCCTTTCTTCTTTCTGATCTTCCAATGTAATTGCTCCTGCAGATACATGTAAATTTGTATATACCGTTGGAGTCAACATGAGAAGGATATCTATCGAATTTAGATTGCATCAAAGAGCAAGTTGTTCGATAGACGGGGACGAGCTTAGCTGCAGGAGAGGCTATAGCTAGTGATGCACTCAGCCTTCTGTTAATCATTGCTGCAATGTTTTCACCTTTATAATCCAGCTGAGTGTAGATTGGCTTCTTCTTTACTGTGATTTGTTTTACATTTGTGACTTCAGATCTTCCACACTTGTTGATTAACCTTTGAGAGTACCTATTGCTCTTCAACATCTTTTCAAGGAACTCAAACTCCTCCTCTAGTTTCTCTATAGAGCATATTCTCCTCGCTCTATAGTACAGAGTGTTGACTAGACCACATTTAAAGCTAGTTGGACAAAAGCTATTAAAATGCAAGTATTGTGCTTTCCATGTGGGCTTTCGATAAATTGACTTTTAAAGACTACCACCTTCTAGGCGTTCCATGGCAATGTCGAGGAAGTGAAACTTTCCGTCACTTTCATGTTCCATAGTGAATTCAATATTGGTGTGTGCACCACTGTAGATATATTTAATAATGTCTTTTCCCTGTAAGCAGCTGACGAGAAGGCAACGAAGTAAAAGGTGGTACCATTTTATTCTGCAGAAAATGTAGTTCTTGTTTTGTACAGTAAATTTTGTTCGAAACTTTGTCATCCAGTAAATAATATCGTTTCACTGACTGTGTGATACATCTAATAAACAAACTAATATGGAATTACTAGCACAGTGCCGAAGTTTCACACATACATTAATTCTAATGTAGTAATAAACGAGTTAGCACAGTAAGAAATAATGAATGTTTATGTCCATGAGCGATTACAACAGTCACTATTTTGACTCAGGTGGATATTTAGACAAATTAGTGAGAAGACGTAATTTGTCTGAATCATGCACTGTTGTATTCGCGCAACATATTTTGGACAGTCTGATCACCCACGGACTTGTCATAGGAATATTAAATTAATAAAGGGTTAATACGAAAGAAAATAAATTTAGGTGGAATTAAAAGCACATATTGAAGGTAAAAATAAAAATGAAGATCACTAGACCTAATGATAGAGGTGTTAGTACAACTACCCTGGCTGGTATCAAAACTAAGTCCACCAAAGGAAGTTCAGTGTGATGGCGAAATGCTTTTGAATGCTAGAAAATGGTGGTTTAGACTTGCTTATTGCTAGGGCCTCCACAAACACCTTTTATGGATAGGTTTAGGAAATGTGAAGACGTCAGTTTTATGTTTTGTCTCTATAATATGTTCCGCAGTAGGGGATGTGGGTCTCATATTCTCACCACTAAGGGCTCCTAAAGATTCTATTTGCTTCTGGAGGCATATAGGAATATGATCAGAAGCCCTGAGTTGCAGACATCGGTGAGTCCTCCCTAAGTGGATACAGCAACCGCTTCTAAACATTACGTCTATAGCTTTATTAGATGTCGGACACTACTTCTACAAGATTCCAAAATGATTCCGCGAGTTAACTTTGAACAGACGCAAACAATACTGCGTCAGGACAAAATGCGAAATTAAATGAAACCAAACACAATAATAAGACAAAAAACGTACACCTCAGATGCCCTTAGGTACCTGATCACGAGGATGGTATCCAGATCCCCCAAAGTAATAGAATGTTGATGTGTGCATTTCACTCAGTTGAAAATTTTGGCAGAAAACAGTGAATGTTGTGGGTGACCGTAAAACATATTGCAGATTCTGCCCAGTTGTGAACACTAATCTTCACTTGCATCTATGCATTCGACTGACTTTTAGCGATCAGAACGCCGCACCAAAGTGCCGAAGCATGCTAGAATTCGATATCAACCAAATTCTTCGGCTCCTGCAACAGAAAAAGGTACTGCTCAAGTGCTGATAGGTAAATTTACGATCGAGTGCAGGTTGCCGCGAAGCTACAAACAGATTTATCGAAAGACAGACACGAAGCTTACTCAGTTTGCCAAATAATCATTGCACGAACCATATATTTAAGCGTTCTGCCACACAAGCAATACGTAAATGCTCAAGAACAATATCGAACAACATTTCTCACACAAATTCATTCAACAGGAGGAAAATAAGCACCAAATCACGTCAACTGCGTTTGTCTGGACAACTAGCGCTCACTCGAATCAACTTAACCGCGCAAATGCTATCAATGCTAAGCTGGAGGAGCCACTTCAAAAAGGGGATATGCCATATAATCACCCGGCAGATTCTCTTCCACTAGTCTTTTTCAGAAACGTTTTAATTCTAAAAATGGATATACAGGCGAGCCCTGTGGTTGAGGCATATGAATCTGCACTGGTTTTACCTGGCAACATCATTTCTTTAGAAGTCAATGAACCAAGATTTCCTGATTTTCAGGGTTATGCTCAGAATCTGCCTCGTTTCATGCGTCAAATCCAGCGGACCCCATCACATATACAAAACAGGAAAGCGCAGCTAGACCCCTGAATTCAAAACAGCACACACGTTTCTAATCCTTTCGACTGGCTCCAGAATTCCTTACAAGCTCCCTACGAGAGCCCTTTCAAGTCATCTGTAGGAAAGAAAAGTGTTTCGTCACTGACAGAGCAGGACGACAGGATGATGTCAGACAGACTATTCTAGGTTAAAGTGGTGCTTAATTTACAGAGAAGTGTATCTTCGATATATGTGTAATAAAAATGACTCATATAAAGTATATGTATCTCTCATATGCTGTAAAAACTGGACCTAGTATCTCATAGAACTGGTTAGCGACATATCAGTGCGTTCAGTGAAGCTTCATCTCCCGAGAGTACAGACTGTATTGTATACAGCTGAACATCTAACAAAGTTGCGGAAAGCATAATGCGACCAATCAGACATTATAAAATCCATATAAAAACAAGATACTTGACATTGGAAATAGGATATTACTGCAGACACATTTAACCTGGACCGGTACTTCAAGGTCGTTCTCTTAAACATCAAATGGTAGGACGAAATCAGCCTTAAATGCACTATTTGTGGATCCTATTAGTACTTGTGATATTGATAAAAACCATCAAATTAAAACCTGTGGTTAATTCACATGACAGAAACCCTTACATTTAAAAATGACTGTGACAACGTACTTATTTACTTATGCAAATAAGTTTAAGAGATGATATCCTTTTGGGAATTTCGCAAATTAAATGCAACTTCCCTCATTTATGTTTCAATTTTTAAGCATACTTTACAAAAAGAATAGTGTAGTGGCAACTACTGCATATCCAATGTCGCATTACCCATAAAGGAACCCAAGCTTACGAAAATTCTAAACTTATTCTAACCTATGCATTGATAATGCCTTTTTTGTAAATGAATATTTTATCTACCCAATATATTGGGTAGAACATATATGTTCTGAAATAAGGCTGGTCGTGCCTAAAAAGCGAGCTGGGTGCTTAATTAATGTGACAAACTCTTAAAAATAAGATCAGCATCTAAATAATGTCTTAAGTGCTGAAAATAAGCACTTCATGCCTAACTGCTGCGGTTAATACTGAAAAATAGCACCCTCTCTCTCTCGACATCGTTTATTGAAACCAACCAACCAATCAGCAAACAATCAATTTAAATTGATCGTATTTCGTTAAAAACTCCATTTCAGGAAAAAAAGCAGTCACTTCTTTTGTGAGATTTATCTTAGTGCTTCACTCACTTCTAGTAAAATTACATTTTTTGTTATGTACAAATGTAATTTCATTAGAAGTGAGTAAAGCACTAAGATAAATCTCACAAAAGAAGTGACTGCTTTTTCCCTGAAATTGAGTTCTTAACGAAATACAGTCAATTTCCTATATGGGTATTCTTAGCAGATATGATCAATACAGCACCACTAGTACACACAAAACAGCGCAGATTAACTTTTAATTACATACCAAATCATTTGACTTGTTTGATTTGTAAGGGTCTACAGCATCAGGCCGTCAAAGTAGGCGAGTTGGAATTGTGTTTAAAACTCCGCTGATGACCACAGAAATCAGTTAACTCCAGACGTCCACATTTAGCTGCGTGGAAACTGTTGAGTGAGTTTTGCATGTGCTTTAAAAATATAAGTAAGCTATTGTCAATACCGAATCAATAATAGCCGTGTTACTGATATCTTTAAATTAATTCACATGACTCATATGGATGAGAAGGATGAACAAATTAACGACGTGGGTGGAATTAATATTCCATTAATAATTTGAGAGATGATGCAAACAATAAGATATCGCTATTTAGTAGTCATCGTTTACAGCTGATATGCATTCTGTCTGTCTGTCTGTTTTCGACATAGAACTTTGCACAAATGTGCGGAAGTTCAAGTCGCCACACTCCGTGTAGCACGCGAAGCAAGAGAAGAAAGTACAAGAAAAGCATAATAGAAACAGTGAGCAGAGGTGTGAGACAAAGGAGTAATAAAGAAAACAAAACAGTTTCATTGGAGATCATAAGTCACAGGAGTGCATGCATCTGCGCCAGCCAGCCATTGAGAACGATTTTGAGCCATGTCACCAATTGTTTCCAACCATAGATTGTTACCGTCCCGAGTTCCCCAGCCTGGAAGTCTACACCTTCCTACGTGGCTTAGACCAACTGTTGTGGATTTCATTGACTGGTGAAGCCATGTTTAGGTTTGACCGCCGCTAGCTTTTTTCCAGCCTGACCCTATATCCGCTAACATTGCTCGTCGAGGGAGGCGATGACTTGGCATACGTAACACATGTCAGTCAGGCTAGTGTGGGGGCCGACATATATATATATATATATATATATATATATATATATATAGACGTCTTGTTTTGATGCTGCTACAGGAAGGGACTACGTCAACTCCTGGCTTAGTGATAGGCAGTGAAGTGATAGAATATGTTGACCACTTCACCTATTTGGGAAGTTGTATCAGCACCAATGCACTGATTGGCGACGAAATCTCAGCACGGATCCAAAAAGCTCGAGCTGCTTTCGCTGACTTACACCATCTCTGGCGTAGGCGTGACATCCGGCTATCAACAACCAAGGGACGTGCGTACTGCTCAGCAGTTCGCTCCGTCCTTCTCTATGGCTCTGAAACATGGCCAATACGAGTTGAAGACATGAAAAGGTTGAATTTTTTTGATCATAGGTGTCTGCGATCTTTTTCTCACGTTAGGTGGTTTAGTAAGGTAAGTAATCTTGACGTTAGGCGTAGTGTTGGGCAAAGAGGGAAAATCAATCGACGAGGCTATAAAGTTACATAGGTTGAGATGGCTAGGTCACGTGCTGCGCATGCCTAACCATCGCCTCCCCCGACGGGCATTACCAGCTGATATAGGTGCAGGTTGGAAAAGAGTAAATGTTGGCTAAACAAAAACATGGCCTCATCAATCCATGAAATCCTTGACAGTTAAACTGAGTCAGGTAGGGAAATGCAGACTCCCGGGTTGGGGCCCTCGTGACTCTAGGAATCAATGGCTGGAGACAATAGGTGGCTCAAAATCGTTGTCAATGGCCAGCGCAGATGTATTCAATCTCTGTAATCTTTCATATTCCTTTCTACCACTATCCATTCTGTTTCACTCTTATACTTGTCAAACTCTATTGATTCTCTTCGCTCATCTTCATCTTCTTGTCTACCTTTGGAACGTGGCAACTGGAACTGGTGCACTTCAGTGCCAAGTTCTATGTTGAATCCAGACAGACAGATATTGAATGTATGGTTGTACAAGCTGATTGAATACACTTATGAGTACAGTGGTAAGTAAGTGCATCAACTCAGAACAACAGCAAACCAAAAAAAATAATATATAGACAAATATGCAGGTAAATCATGTAACGTGTAATTTCAAAGCATAATTGACTATCATACACAAGGCGTCTAATGGCTAATAAATTATCTGTCTCAGTGACTACTGGCAAGATATCGAAGACTATAACCAATTTATTCCAATCAAATTTAACGGTAGATGAACTATTTGAGTTTAGTACAAGCTAAGCATACTTTGTGTCACTAACACAGTATGATTATAAGAATTTCATACTGTAATGTCTTATGTGGTATGCTTTCCACGAAGGGATCTGTTATCTATTAAGTAGTCGACATTCTCCAGTAGATGAGTATAACCTTATGCACGTAAATGAGCCTGAATCGCATTTCGTTTTTAAAATGAGAACCTCAATTATCGTAGTTTGAGTGGTGACAATGTGTAACGAAACTGTATGACTGACATATGCAAACTAGAGTAGATTATATTGATGCCAAATAAGTTTAAATACCGATTTCTTTACTAGGTAAACATTTTAGCTCTCCTCTTCAGACAACGAGAATGACCTAAAATTACCTACTTTTGGCTGCTTGTTATTAATCTCTTACTCATACAGCCATGTGACGGCTTACGGCGAGCTGTCATCTGAACTGGTGACGACTAGTGGTGTCCGTCAAGGACGCTCATTATCCCCATTTCTATTCAACTTCATCATAGATGTACTAATGGACTTAACCCTAACTCACTTCAGCGACTCAGGGATTGATTTGCTACCAGGAAGGGAATAATCTCGTTGACTTAGAGTATGCAGACGATATAGTCCTTCTAGGCGAGGATGCTGACAAAATGCAGAGTCTTCTAAACACCTTGGGCTGCAATCTACGAATGTTTGGCATGCGATTCGCTCCCGCCAAATGCAAGTTGATGTTACAGGACTGGACTACACTGACTCCTAGATTAGAAATAGGGAGTGAAGTGGTAGAGCACGTTGTCCGCTTCACTTATTTGGGAAGTACCATCAGCCAACGCCAACGGGTTGATCTCTGACGAAATCTCAGAACGCATACAGATGGTTAGTTTCGCACATGCCAGTTTACGCTGTCTCTGGCGTAGACGCGATATCCGACTGGCTATCGACCAAAGGGCGGGTGTACTGCTCATCAGTCCGCTCCGTCCTCCTTTATGGTTGTAAGACCTGGCCACTGAGAGTGGAAGACATGACAAGATTAGCTATCTTTGCTCATAGGTGCCTGCGCTCTATTTCCCGTGTAAAGTGGCATAATAAGGTGAGCAATATTGAGGTTAGGCGTCGGTCGAGTGCTAGGTAAGGAGGGGAAATCGATCGACGAGGCTGTGAAGTTACATAGACTGAGATGGTTAGGACATGTGTTACGTATTCCTAGTCATCGCCTTCCTCGATCGACGTGCAATGTTAACTGATATAGGGTCAGGCTGCAAAAAAGTTAGGGGAGGTCAAACTAAAACATGGCACCAGTCAATGAAATCCACAACAGTTAGTCTAAGCCATGTAGGAAGGTGTAGACTTCCTGACCAGTTAGGGTCCTCGGGACGGTAAAAATCTATGGTTGGAAACAATTGGTGACATGGCTCAAAATCGTTCTCAATGGCTGGCTGGCGCAGATGCATGCACTCCTTGTGACTTATGATTTCCAATGAAACTGTTTTGTTCTTCGTTATTACTCCTCCTTTGTCTCACACCTCTGCTTATTGTCTCTATTATGCATTTCTTCTCTTGCTTTGTGTGCTACAGGGAAGGAGTGTGGCGACTTGAACTTCCGCACATATGTGCAAAGTTCTGTCGAAAACAGACAGACTGCTTGTTATTAATAAAACACTGTTGTGTTTTTTGAGGATTGCAAAAATCCCCTATGTTCTACAAGAGCAGTGAAAAATTCTTACTAAGTTGAACTCGAAGGACATTAAAAATGCTTTTGTCAATAGCATTTACCTAAGAATATTGACAAGCTGTAATCATTTCAGGTGTGTATGAATGTTGTTAACCAACTTCTACTTATTTCTTGGAACTGAACTTTTTCTCTCTGTGATAGAAATTATAAGGCAGATTTTCCTTCTATCTTTTTGTTTTTTTAGATGATAACAACTAGGCGTTTACTGAAGTATATCCACTTGAAGAAATTGTGTTCAAGAGGTATTCAATGTTATTCTGGAGAAGCTGGTTCTTGTTCATCAACAGGTGCTTTTCATCCTAGACCAATAATGACACCACTTGGTTTAATTAAAGTTGTTGGTGCTGTATTACCTTCAATTTATCTTGGTTCATTTATAAGTAGAAGTGGAGCAGAATTTCTAGAAGAGAATGATATTTTCGTTCCAGAAGATGATTAGAAGAAGAATTAGACAAAACTTACTGCCATATTATTTCTTTTCTTCATTAATTATTTTTTTGTTTGTTTGTTTGTTCACACAATTAGTTTTGTTAAGAGTTAGTTATTTTATTGTGAAAATTTTTTTTTCAAAGAATGTTTTCACTGACTGATGAGAGAAGCTTATGTTGTTTTAACTTCTACAAAACTCTTGTATGACTCAAATGCTTTTACTAATAATATGTGGTACAAGTTAATGCATAGCATGATCTTTAACTTTTATAATTATGTGATAATATTCGTGTATTAGAAAGAGATACCAAATAAAACTACTTATATATATATATATGATATCAGTTGAGTCTATCCAACTTCTCTGTTTTTCTTCTTATCAAGTACGCATCTGTGCCTCATTTTTTAGTTAACTGTCTTCTATTAAAACCTTCCATTTCAGCTAGCCAACTTAAAACATAATTTGACTTGTTGTTAATCACTTTAGCCTGAGGTATAGATATGATAGAGAAGATTTGTAGCTCAGATGGATGATTTTGATGTGGTTGTGTTCTCTGAGCAAACTGGATAGTTAATTTGTGAAGCTTTCATCACCCTACTAGATGACATCTTCAGCGCATACACTACAATTTAATGAAGTGAACTTTTAGATTTCTCCACGAGTTTATTAATCATCCCTCCTGGTGACCATCTTGGACCTCATGATTGGTTGTTTTTGTGTGTTTTCACATCCTCTAGACTGCTACTTGTATTGGAACTGATAGTTTCTTTGACTTAAACTTTGACTCTTTGTGTGTGTAAGAGGTTTCTTTCTTATCGGTTGATAAATTTTGTCTATGTCGATGTGTCTATTGATTGATGATTCACTGGAATGCCAAGCTTCTAAAAATTCTTTGGTTAGCATTTTTGTTGTTTCCTCTGTTTAATATTTGAATGTTGGTTGTCCCAGTCGAATTGATGTCTGTGATTGTCTGTATGCAGCGAGTGATATGAAGGAGTGGATATCATGTCTTTTGACGGCTAGCTTATGTTCGTAGATACGAAGACGAAGCGAACGTCCACTTTGGCCAATGTAGTGTTTTTCGCAGTTGTTACAATTTATTTTGTAGATGATGTTGGTTTTATCTTCTTTCGCTGTTCAGTCTTTTGGTTGACATAGAATTGAGTGAAGTGACTTTGTTGGTTTGTGTACGACGTCAATTCCTAGAGGTTTGAAGAGTCTAGTACAAAATAAAGGTGGTCACCAGGAGAAATGATTAATAAACTCGTGGAGAAATCTAAAAGCTCACTTCAATTCGAATTGAAGTATGCGCTGAAGATGTCACCTAGTAAGGTGATGAAAACTTCGCAAATCAACTATCCAGCTCAGAGAACACAACCACATCAAAATAGCTTGAGGTATACACATTAACAATTCTAAGGTGAATATGTTTAAGTAGCCAAGAAAACAGTGTAAAAGCTGCTGTAAGCATACCTCAGACCAAGTTTCTCTCTCGGATTCCAAATGAAACATGGGATCTTAACAGCACATTTTCATTTCATCCTATTCTCTCGATGTAGCCCCTTTAGCTGGCTCTACAATTGCCTACAAGCTTTCATTTCCTACTCACGTCAGCGTAGGAGCTACTCCAAACTTGTCGAGTTGCAGTACCACAGCTCGGAGGTGATGTCATTCAACAGCCTACTAAGAGTGTATTCGATCTATTTCCTTTTGCATATTCGTTGAGAAGAATGTTGACCGCATATTAATTTAGTTGTTAGAAATATCACACAATGAAAGAGTATTATATGCTTGATGATGTTTTGGACACAATTTATTGTTCATAATTATGCCAGTTATAACAACACAACTTCGAAACTTTCATTCAACAACTGGGACCAGATCCAATGACTCGTGAATCCCAACTTCTGCCAATTTTTAAACCCCTTTTGTTGGGTAGTGCTGAAGAGTTCAAAATCAGGAGGAAACGGCTGTCCACTAATCCTAGCTTTTCCAATGATTCTCTGACTGAAGTCAACTTGTAAAATCATTATTTATCTCTCTCTTGTACAGTTACAACTTGTTACAACATCTCCGAGTGTGTAATCCCAACTAATCATATAATGGTCGTATGACTTTTGTGGCGGGGCAAACAGAAAATGTCGGTGATAATCACCGTGGCCAAACGACTTTGTTTGATATATAAGGATGTATAAAACAAGGTATGAAAAATAAGGTATTGAGAGAAATACTCAAGTCATGTTATGATTTAATAAGGCCACTCCTTCATCAGATGAAAGCAAACAATGATACGCCGTGAACTTTCATCAAAACCTTACTCTTCACACTGTTCATATCACAATGTTGTTTAGCTTCCAGACAGAATATTGATTTTGTTTGACATGACCTTTGTCTATTTCTAAAACTTCAGCTATTTCTTATCTAAATCTGTCTGTGATTACATCATTTCCACTGTTCTGACCACAACTAGTATGTTTAGCAGTCACAATAATTGTATACTTCACTGTCAAAGGCATTGGTGAAGATTTGGATATTTATCACAAGTTGACAAAGTTGAAATTCACAGGTCATTGAATTCCAGTCCAAGTGGCTGCTGAATGGTCAACAAGTCTGCTGTCGTAACCTGAAAAGGTCCAGGGTTCAATCCCGATTAGATCGTGGGGGTACACTGGTGAAGACTCCCAAACTAGAAGGAAACAGTTGTCCAGTGCTCTCTGGTTCTCAGTGACCCCTCTAACAACTGGTGTTGGCTCGTGACAACTAAATCGAACAACTGAAATTATGCGTATACATTCCAGACAATAAGTGAAGGACAACAAATTAGACTTTGACTAAACATTTTTTGACCTTCCAAATGATGTTTCTAACCTCTTTTGTTTGTCTTATACAGATATTTTCAAGAGTTAGTTTGTGCGTAGGGACTTGGCTTTTTGTTTCAAGCTTGACCATGGGTGGATTTCAGCTACAGACCAAGTGATTACTGGTTTCGTTATACTTTGGGGCTCTTCAGTATTATACACTCAAGATTCCGACTGGCGATTGGACTCAGGACCTTATAAGTAACTGGTTGTACTTAAGGTAGACTTTAATTTAACGCACTTAATAAGGACTTCTACTCTTAATACCCTAATCACAGTACTCTACCTAACGTGTGTAATTACCGATTAAAGAACTCGAAGTGAAAAAGGCTTGTAACTTGGTAGTGTGCCCTAATAAGAATTATATTTTTTACCATAAATGAAATGTCAAATTTATTAAATAAGAATATTGTACAACTTATACGAAGTGATGCGGAATGGCACACTCGAAGAGGAATTGTGCAAACGTAATGGAGTCCAGAAAAAAAAGTATGGCATAGCGTCCACATATTACAAGTACACAATCAAACAAAAACTGAGGACATTGAAGGTGCAGTACAACCTCTGGGTCACTAGACCAAACTTGTTAACCATTTGGTCATTTGGATTGGGATTCGCCGGTCCATAATTTCTAATTATATGGATTCGTGACTTTAGCGGGATCGCGAGTTAATGTTATAGGCGTGTATTTGTCCCTGCATCCGACCTGATGGACCTTAGTGGTCACAAGTCCTCACCAGGACAACATATTTATACCTAAGATCCGATTTTCAACTCCAATGTGAAGTCAGTGCTACTCACTGTACGGATCAGAGACTTGCACTGCGCGTCATAAAGAGCATCTCAAACAAACTACAGACCTTCGTTAACAGCTGTCTCCGCTCAATGCTACTCAAGATTAGATGGCCGGCCAGAAAAGATCAGCAACAGGGATCTCTGGGAATGAGCGAACCAACCAGGAACCGACTGTGAAACAAATAGGCAGGAAGAAATGGAGATGGATTGGTGGCCATACTCTGAGGAAACCATGAAGTGACATCACTAGACAACCCATTGCTCGAGTGGAACCCGATGAAAGGGAAGCGGCGAGTTGGTCGTCAATGCGAGGGTGACTTGGAGGAGGTGATGCGAAGAGGAGATGAAATCATGTGGGCAGACTTGGAGCGGGGTGAAAAAGTTGGCCGAAAAACCGAAGGCAGTGGAGACGCACAGCTGAAGCCCTATGTTCCTCTAGGAATTAAAGGATATAATAATAATCACAGAATATGTGAAGCTCATTTTCCAGCTGAATATAAGTACTATCGATCACTGATTAAAACTACTCCCACTGCTTCAGTGAAAAGGTGGTAGTTATGTCTATAAATATTTCGTAGCATAAAGTTGATCAGAGGGATTGAATACAAGGTATGAGATTTTAAGTACACTGGACTGGTGAGAGGATAGTTGAAATATATTCTCTTCTGTGTTAATAATAATGAGACAAGATATTTACAATTATCGCTATTACTGGTTGCAATAAGAAAAGTGGAAATGATGCAATGACAAACAATTTTAGGAACAAAGTAGTAGTACTGGATAGGTGTTCCGCCCCTTAGTTCTGGACTCTTCATCAGCACGCACACATCAGGGTTCAAATCCAGGACATGGACTAACAAGACTTCCCAGAATTGTCTTTGTGATATTGCCTAACGAAATCTGAGTAATGTGTGTTGATGATCGAAGCAGTTAGAACTAGTTTGGACTATTTAAAACTATTAGGTCGAAGCAGAATATTTATTATAGTGATATTGTACAAGCCCTTCTTTATGCAAAATCAATATCATTGGTTATTTGTCGATTTAATTTTCCTGAGATACTTAGGTATTTGCATGTAATCTATTTCTTATATGATAAACTGAATTGATCTCACCCGCCCGGACCAATCAGCCTTCCTTCTTCTATTTCGTGGACTAAAACAGATGTGGGTGATCGTGAAAGCGATTACTAATCAATTTGTGGGCTTCATTCGAATTCTATATTGCTTCTAAATACTGTGGGGACCCACAAGTCAATAGTATTGAAAACAGACAAAACATTTAGGCGACGGGGTTGCCTATCAAAACCCCAGTAGCATCATCACAGGCAGAAAATTCATTTCATTTAAGCGACTTCTATTTTCAGATCGTGGAAAACACCCATAAGGACATTTGAAAGAAGAGAACACGAAGTTCAGCAAAGATATCTTTTCGGCGATTTCATTTTTTTTCAGTTATAAAAACAGTTATTTTAAGTTTGTTTCCATGCTTTTCCTGCTCACATTTATGATTCGTTTAAAATAACTAATCCTTTGCAATTTTTGTCTATCTAAGGCTCTTATAATCTATATTCACACCTCCTAATTTCCATTTCAAGTTGAAAATTATTATTTCAATTTTGTTTCCATGCTCATTTTTTTACACCCTTGTTATTCGTTCTAATCCTGTGTTAATTTTGTTTTGTAAGCCTCTCCTCGTAAACCAGATCTAGTTGAAAATAATTGTCACCTTTTATTCGCCGTCATAATTATGTATCCATGTAAAATTATGTATTTAAATGCGATTGTACAGCTGCTTTTGAAAATGAAATTGCTGAAAATATCACCATCTTTGCAGAACTTCGTGTTCTCTCTTCTTTCCGATTTCTATTTCATTGGATGATCTCAAATCGATTTTACACCTACACTGGAAGCTAAAAGTGAAGCAGTTCAACTGGAATTTTTCAGTTCAGCTATCTACAGACTGCAAATTCCTATTAACAACCATGCTGAATATCAGCCACAAGAAACTGGCGATAAAGCAATTAAGAACCTATTGCTCAACAATTATGCCGAAGTAAATACAGATGGATAGGATGCACGCTGAGGAGGCCGTTCTACGACATCATGCGTCAGGTCCTCCAGTGGAACTCGAATGGGATCCGAGGGTGACATGGGGCAGATCATGTGAAGATGAAATAAAAGCTTATCGGCAGTTGTATAGCCAGTCAAAGAAGATTGCAGAGAACACGACAAAATGGAGAAAGTTCTGTTGAAGGCATACGGTCTACTCGGAACCCAAGGTAATAATAATACAATGTATATGTATAAATCCAGTTTCTGGTTTTCTATTTAATTCATGATATGATGATTCAGCTAAAAGTCGTTTTTTATTTTACGGAAGCCGCCTGGTACTCACTTACGCAGTTTACTATAACAGATCTCAAACAATCATTCCAAAGTTAGACGCGTTATTACCTCATGTACTGATGATTTGTAAATATTCATTACATTCACACACTACGTGTTTTTTCGTGAAACATTGAGTTATATCGACATGTTTATTTTGGTTTCTAATCTCGTCTATACGTAGTAATGGCGTGATTCATTATATTAACCCCCTATTGGTTGTTCCCCTTTACTTGAGGACGACTAATAGTACCTTTGTTAATGCTGGTTTACCTGAATTTTCTTCATTTAAATTCACTACACTTCGGGTTTACATACTACCACGACGACTGTGGCATGTGCTACTGACAAGATTTATCAGTAGTTTGTAGGGAGACAGTCATCAGGACTATATAATATCAAATAGTGAAGAGATAGATTTGAGTGGGAAAGAGAGGAAATAAAGCAACCAGTATTGCGGCAAAACATGGAAGACACGAAAAGACTTCGAAGGGCAGAAGTAGCAAACACAACACGGAGGATCTGTGTAAATGACGATTTTAATATATAACTTCATTATAGATAAGATTTTATTTTAATAAGTCACACAGTTATATTAACTGATGACTACGTTTCGAGCACAAACTATTACCACTCATAATCATATCAAGTTACTCACTCACACAACTTCCTTCTTTCATTTATACACATGTGTGTAATTGACTAGATATTTGAATAAAAATCAATATGAGATAATGTACGCTCAGAAATAATAATATCAGTGTTATTGATCAATTACAATCAGATGGGAAATAAGACGAGTATTAGAGGGTTGGAGGCGATCGGCCACAGGAAGCCTTACAGGACCTAGGTTTCGTGCTAGCCGGCACTCGTCAGCAAGGCAGGTGTGTCTGCAACCTTGAAGGAACTCATGTCCCTTCTGAGATTCGAATCCGCGTCACTCAGTGCCGTCTGCAGTCAGAGACGTTACCACTAAGCTGTTCTGGCTCGCGATTGACCTCCTGTAGTACTGTAGTGGATATTTTGATTGGGCACTTGTAACTAGTGTGATGTGTCGAGTCCTCTTTCTTGGGTGCAGACTGAATTCTATCAGTCAGTCAGGTTTGTAATGTGGCCACCATACCACTAGGTAGCTCACCATCACCGTGCACATTAATTTGATGCTATACTAGATGGTTGGAGGCAGTCGGCCACAGGAAGCCTTGCCTGGACCTAGGTTTTGTGTTAGTTGGCACTCGTTAGCAAGGTGTGATGGTGGGCTAGCTAGAATGGTGGTCACATTACACAGTCTACATCAATCAGAGGACTAGACGCATCACACTTGTTTGTTTCCTTCACGTTCCCAGTGGAACATAGGGCTTCAAACTAGAGGCTTGAAGTTTCTGTAGCAGTGTTTATTTTTTTTACAGAATGAGGTTGCTAGCCTCATGCCCAACCTTTCCTTTTAACCGACTTTTTATTACTAGAATGTTATGATGTACGTGAATTGAATTGAAATTTGAGATTATTTATTATCCTCCTCTGATTTGACTGACTGGCGACAATATCTTACATATTTCTGGTATTTGCATTGAGTTATTTCTGTTGCAAATATCTAGTCAATTCCACACATGTAGATAAATGAGGCAAGAAAGTTGTGTGAGTGAGTGACTTGATATGATTATGAACAGTAATAATTTGTGCTTGAAACATGTGGTCATCAGTTAATATTACTGTATAACACTCCACTGTGTGATTTATCAAAATAAAATCTTATCTATAAAGGAGTTATACTCTACCACCAAAGTGCCCAAGTTTTATACTTTTATATCGATTTTCATATATGGTAAACATAATTTCCCTAAATGTGTATATCAGAATGCCAACAAACATTCAATTATCAAGTCTCTTGTCTTCTGTCATCACTCTACTGCTCAAGGACTCGGTATTCATTCAGTCAACGAGCCCTAATTCAACAAGTACGGCAACTGGGTAGTACCATCACCATGACTAGTTCTCATACGATAAGTGTGGCTTTTAGCCTCGTACGTACATAATAAATCTGCTCTGGATAACTGAGTTAAAAAAACACACAAGACACCACTGATACTCTACTACCTGTCCGAAATTTTAGTCATAATGATTATACAACAATCCATCTTGTTCTAGCATAATCCTGCGTACAAGTTGTAGTTAAGGAAATTACTTTCCAGTGTGTCATTACCAGAAGCAGTACACAGTTTTGTTTACTAATAATAAGTAGAGTAATAGAAGAATATGACAAGAGAAAAAAAAGGAGACTTAATTTGTGCAATAATTGGAATGGAACTTCACAGAAGTAGAAGAAGCGGAAGAAGAGGAAAATAAAAATATAAAATACACGAATATCAAGTAGGAATGTACACGATACATTGAAAAGAATAATGATAATAATAATAATGATAATATTATTATGACTAAAGGAATGTTTACTACATTAATAAGACATTATGTATAAACTGGTTCAATTTTCCAGGCTCCTAGAGAATACCTCAGACGAATCATGAGTAAATCTTTAGCCATTTGAATCCATGAGAAAATTGGAACCAATTTTGATCCTATAATAAGGAAAATAAAGAACATAAAAGTAAGTCAATCAATCGATCAAATAATTTGCCTATTTTTATAATCAACAGTAGAATCACAATTGACAGTTAAGCAGTGTGCGTTTTACAGCGTAAATAACGGAATACCATCTCTATCTTTCTCTGTTATTCCGTGTACCTCCAAATGGAATTATAAGGGGTGAAGGGAATTCAAGCTTTGATGTTTTAATAGCGGCGAGGTTTTATACCCTCAGACTCAATCTTCACTGTTTACCGCACTTACTCATCTACCGGCAAGTAAACGAGTTAAACGACGCCAATGCTTGCGTTGTTAGTAAGCCAAGGAGTTTCAGGTATCTCTTCAAGTTGTAAGTCGCCAATACCACCATCTGCCTCAAGAATCATCTTGCTAACACCGTGCTTCTTACCGCCAGGGGATTGGATGAGCTGGAACTCTTTCCGACAGTTGCTACATGAAGCTGCTAAGTCTATGTGATATGCGCGTTCTGATGACTAGGTTTTTGGTAGACTGACTGATAGGCGTCAAAAATGTTGTAAGACACTCACTCAAACTTAGTGACTTTTAACAGAGCTTTTTCGTAAGCCGTTAGAGGTTTTACTTACCGATTTCGTAGTGTATTGTATGAGTAGCCATTATCGTTCATATTATTATAAGAGGTTACTAGGCAACTAGTCATGCCTCTAGCTTGGTTTCGCACTTCGCAGAGGCAGTAGGTGCTGCGAGCTTACTTGCGTCAACCTTCTGAGGACACTATTTGTGACCATCATCAAATAATCTGACAAATTAAAGCATAATCGAAATCCAGACAATTTTATTATCATTTTCTGTAATTCCTAGGGGAACATAGGGCTTCAGCCGCGCGTCTCCACTGCGTTCGGTTCATTGCTAGAGTTTTCACCTGTCTGCCCACATGCTTTCATCTCCTCTTCACATGACCTCCTCCATGTCACCCTTGCATTGACGACCAACTCGAAAACAGCTGTTAATGAAGGTCTGTAGTTTGTTTGAGGTGCTCTTTATGACGCACCAAGTCTCTGATCCGTATAGACAATTTTCCTGCAGAAGAAAGAGGTAGTCCTGTATGCTCCCAAGCAATTAGAAGCTGATAGTAATGTGATCTATCTGAAACAAGGCTTGGATGACAGAGCGGAGAGGCAATGGTTGTGTTAGAAGTTAGCGATGGCTAGATATAAGTTGTGATCGCATAAAGCTGCCAAAGACAACCTCTCTCTATCTGACCTGAGACTATGTGCAGTCTCCTCATTGATCACCTAGACGACTCTCTTCCAAGCTTAGAGTCCTCCTCCTCCTCGACTGTGAAATTAAGTCCACCGAGAGCATTAAGACATCTATTTGACACGCATACTTCAGAGGCTTATTTTGCGTTCGTAAGCGTAATCCATTGTTGTGTTGTGAATTATCTTCTTTCAAGACAAAATTTCATTCTATTAACTCCATTAAGGGTAAATTTTGTTTTGATAAAGTCTCACAGTGTTGTACAGTAATGTTTACTGATGACCACATTTCGAGCACAATTTACTGCCCCTCATAATCATATCAAGATAATCATACAACTTCCCAACTTCGTTTATATAATTCCATCATTATTTTTCATCGCTTGACTTGATGATTGGTAGTAGTATTTCCCATATTTCGGGTATGAGTGATGAATCATTTCTATCGCATGTGTTAGGTGTAGACCCGATGAACAAGGATTCAGTAATCAACCTCTCTCTCTCTCCACCTATCTAGATTACTTTTTAGAATTTTAACCCACTCCCACCATGCTATTGTGTGGTTGTGTGTTAATGCATGCATGCAGTGCGATTGCTGAGCTTGTCCTGTCTGAGTGAGTTTGTAGGTTTAAATGCCACCCTAATTCCTGCTTTATTTAGAATCCTACGTAGGGTCTCAGACGTCCCTTCTTTATATGGTATAACTGTAGATGACTTATATTCTCTCTTATTTATGTTATTATTACTAGTTCCACAATTATTTTTCTTTTGGCCTTTTTCAATCTTCCTAATGAATTTCAAAGGATAGTTTTTTAACACCAACGCCTCTTATATTTGTTTTATTTCATCGTTCAGGTCTTTTTTGTACTACTTAGGGCTATTACTCGGTTTGTTAAACACTTAACTAAGCCTGCCTTAACAGTTAGTGGATGAGATGAATTAAAGTCTAAATATCTATTAGAATGCGTTGGTTTTCTATAAACACTAGTGTGTAGTTTGCCTTCTTCTATTCGTTTTATTTTACAATATAACATGGCTAATTCTCCTTGTTCATTTTCAGTTTCAAACGTGAATTTTATTCCCTTTACTAGTGAGTTTATGAGTGTGTTTGAAGAAGCTAGAGATATGTTCTGTTATTAACACTGTGAAGTTTCATCCACATATCTCCAGCATATTATCTTTGGAGTAGGATTAAATTTTGTGTTAAGAGCAATATTTTCCCAGCTGTGCATAAATATATCTGTTACGATAGGGGATATTGATGATCCCATCGCTACACTTTCAGTTTGTCTATAATTGTGGAACTAGTAATAATAACATAAATAAGAGAGAATATAAGTCATCTACAGTTATACCATATAAAGAAGGGACGTCTGAGACCCTACGTAGGATTCTAAATAAAGCAGGAATTAGGGTGGCATTTAAACCTACAAACTCACTCAGACAGGACAAGCTCAGCAATCGCACTGCATGCATGCATTAACACACAACCACACAATAGCATGGTGGGAGTGGGTTAAAATTCTAAAAAGTAATCTAGATAGGTGGAGAGAGAGAGAGGTTGATTACTGAATCCTTGTTCATCGGGTCTACACCTAACACATGCGATAGAAATGATTCATCACTCATACCCGAAATATGGGAAATACTACTACCAATCATCAAGTCAAGCGATGAAAAATAATGATGGAATTATATAAACGAAGTTGGGAAGTTGTATGATTATCTTGATATGATTATGAGGGGCAGTAAATTGTGCTTGAAACGTATAACACTGTGAGACTTTATCAAAATAAATTTTATCAACAATGGAATTACACTCTACCACAGTGCACAAGTTTTATTCTTATATCAATGATCATACCATTAACATCAGATTTATATGAACAACTACTCAACAACATGTTCAATCATACTTTTTAGCCTGTAAATTTTCTTCTTTATTCACCAACTTATGATTAGTTTTGCTATTAGAGTTAAATTAAGCCACCGCTTTCAAATTACTACAGGGTGGGACGACCATAGTAAATAATTTTACTATATATATATATATATATATATATATATATATATATATATATATATATATATATATATATATATATATATATATATATATATATATATATATGAGATATCTAGTGACTTAAATGCTTAAGTCTTCCTGATTAAAACATAATACATGTCTTTTTAAAACAATTATGATTCTACATAATTAATTAATGAACTAAAATCGAACTATGTTCTACGACAATGTCTGAAGTCTATTTTCTTGTAGTATTTTTTTTCTTTCTATGCTTGAAAAGTTTCTCTATATTGATTAGATTGATTTTCCGGTGTAAGGCAAGGTCGTTGGTAGTTTCACACCCTACCTTTTCTTATATTTTGAGTTTAGAACTAACTAATAAACTAAGCAAAAGCAAAATACGGATTGAATGAATACAATCCGAAAAAATCGTCAAGCGGGCAGTCAAGTGGAACCTCAATGGGAAATGAATTGAGCCTTGGTCCGAAAGTAACATAGAGGAGACTTTGTGGGGCGAAGATAAAAGCTAACGGCAATCGATGAACTAGCTTAACAAAACAAATGGAGACGTGCCACTGAAGCCCTATGCCGCTCTGCTCGGAGCTCAAGGGACATCATTGAAGCGTCTGAACTAGGAGGCAACATAACAACCTGAGGTCGAACATTTCAACCCAATCAGTCAACGGGAATATTAAAAATGACTTTAAAAAAGAAATAACTGACATCCTTTTCAAAAGAGGTGGCAACTGCCATTGCCCAGATGGTCTACTGGATAACACTTTGACCTTTGAAAACCTGCGTACCGGGGTTCCAGCCTCAGTGGGAACAGCATCACTCACTGGAGAATGCAGGCGCACATCCTGTTGAAGAGGCCCAAATGGGAGGAAATACATGTGCTGGATTAAACTGCTTTAGTCACTATCCACTAAACTACACTTTTAGATTACTAGAAAGCTTTTATGAAAGCTAACTCCTATTCATGCAAAAATTGAACACATTTTAGAAGAAAAAAAAGATATTTTAAAACTTCATTAAAGTTAATAATTCAAACAAAGAAACCAACAAAAGAAAACAACTTACCTGGAATTTCTTTCCAATGAACAGGTATTTCAACTATATTCATTTCAAAATGTTTGGCTAAATATAAGAGGTCTACATCAAATGCCCAACGTTCAACATGTAAATTATGAAATAGTACACGAGCAGCAGGTCTACTGAATAATTTAAATCCACACTGGGTATCACGAACTCACGAACACAAACAAGCCAAACAAACAATTTAAATCCATACATAAGTAAATTTCTTAGTGGATGACGTTTAGCAATTGCTTGTTCTTCTAAATGTGCTCTAGAACCACATATAACTGCCATACCACCATTCTATAAGACAAAGGGATAAATAAAAGTAAGAAGAAACAATACAACAGAAATCAATACTTTGGCAAGAAATATCATACACAGTGATGATCAAACACGCAGAGCCACCGCACATTCTCAGTTCGGAGGAGCCTGTTTTCACAGGCGTAGAGCAAGACAGCCCGCACCGTAGCATTATTTACCTGACCTTTGACAACCAGCCTAACTTCGCGACGGTGCCTAGCCTTCGTGATACGGTTGGAAATCTCATTCATCACGCCTCTGTCAGCAGTCAACACAACTACCCAGAGACACAAACTTATCAACAACTTCAAGCGGTTCACCCGCAAGAGTGAGTGCAGGTGCAGGCTCCTGCCAATTTTGCAACAGTACTTTGCACTTAGACGGTGCAAAGCACATACCATATTTACAGACACTGATCACCAACTGATTAGGTGCGATTTGGGCAGCCTGAACGCTATGGCACAGTAAGACGATATCCTCTGCAAACTCGAGGTCGAAAGTCTATCTCCAGGGAACAGATCTACACCACCTTCACAAACATCCTTCAGAGCTGACTCCAGAATGTCATCGATGGCAAAGGTTAAGAGAAATGGAGAAATTGGGCAACTCTGTCTAACCCCACTGTTAGCTGCAAACAGTTGTGATAATTGGTTGTATGCCCTCAGTCTACCCGAGGTGTTTCGGTATAGGGTTTTCAAGATATTAACAAACTTATCAGGTACATTTCTCTCTAACAGACAGTTCCAGAGCACAGTTCTGTCCAACGAATCGAAGGCAGCCCTAATATCCAGAAACACAACGATTGTTGGCCTGCAATACGTGTGGCGGTGTTCCAACAACTGACGAAGGGTGAACACATGATCAATGCATCCTCGACCTGAACGAAATCCAGCCTGCTCTACGCGAATCAATCTTTCACGTGTTTTGCACAGTCTGCGGAGGAAAACAGCAGCCAATATTATAGACGCAACTGGTAGCAAACTGATACTCCTGTGGTTGTCAAATGAATTACATCAACCCTTTTTAAAGATGAGGACGACAATGGCTTCGTTCCACATTGATGCTACACTCTTTGTCTCCCGTACCTTCCTGAATAAACCAGTTAGAGCCATTACAACAGCTTAAAGACATACGCTGTAGGTGGAACGCAGTGGAATAGAGTGATTTTAAATAATTATTCTTCGTATTTATAAGAGAAATGAACAGCTACTCTGGTAGGAGATTCCTAAAAACCTCACTCACTGATTTCTAAATGCTTACGTAAAGTATGTAAAGAGAAGAAGCATGCAAACCAATTTAAGTACACGTAGCTAACTAGCGGAAAACCTCTACACTAACAGTAAGTGAAGAAGCCAGAAATTACGTCTGACATAAATCTGTTTTATGATTAACCTTCATGAAGGCATCAATGAGAAAAAATTAGTAGTTCAGCGTAGAGGTTCTTTTCGCAGTGACTTCACTCTCCTCAGTTGTACGAAAGCATTTATATACCATTTTTCAATTCACAAAACAGGACAGTAATAAATCTGACGAGTTGTTATAATCATAATTACCACTCTAGTTATGATTGGCTGTTTTGCAGGAAAAAAGTGTAAATCGAATGCGATGGTGCATGCTGAAGAAAATGAAGCCGTCTACGCTGAACTTTTTGTCTTAGTTTTTCTAATATTAAATCTGTCTTATTTACGTACGGGAAAACTGATGAGACATTACCTGTTTAACACATGTTAAGTTTTTAAAGTCATACAATTACATATATATATGGTTTTTCATCCATCTTGTAATTGATATGCACTTGTGGTAACCCTAAGAACCACACGGTATTACCAAGCCCTATATGTTTTTCCATTTTAATGTATGCACCGTTGAATACATATATGTGAATATTGGACATCCATGCCATGAAGTTCAGACCTTTATGTTGGTACAGATTGAATTCTATTAGCCAAGTTTGCCATATGGTCACCATGCCAAGTGGCTCGCCATTACAGTGCACTCGTGAATTTTTCTTAAAAAATGGTTGGAGGCAATCAGCTTCCCATTGTCCAGAGATTCTCTTCCTGATTTCTTGGTAGAACTCAGTCTGCAGCAACACCAAGGATTAGACGCATGATATTGGTTACCATCAAAAGTCCAACGAAAGTACCCACTATAGTCCTACAAAAGAGATCAGTGGTAATGTCATCTCTGACTGCAGAACTCACTTGATGATCTCAGATCGAATATCAGAAGGGAAATAACTTCTTTTCAAGACTGTAGATACTACACCTTGCTGACTGGTGAGTACCAACAATACGACACCAATGTCCAAGACATCCTGCGAACTCTCTTCAATCGTTCAACAACAATATATACTAACAGAGATGTGGCTGATGGACTCGACTTTCAGTCAAAGAATTTCGAGTTAGAACCCCCACCCCCACCATTGTGGAGAAATGAGAAGCAGCTTCACAGGCATTACATAATGAATAAGGTCCACTGACGAGTACATGAAAATCTGTTGTGGGTAACGTGTTTCCCACATTATTCATATGCAAACACATAAATTATCAACATTTCGTAGTGATTTTACAATAGTGTAGCTAAGCTACGGCTTAGTTGATTTTTATATTAGATGAGCAGACTTTGGACCGAGAACTAACTTATCGGTTTAAAAGCCACAATTATCTCAGTCAATCAATCACAGTAAATATATGTATATATCTAATATAGTATGCGTTTAACACTTAATATGCGTGTGAGTTTAATTTTCTGTCTTTGATGTGCATAGAGGAAAATGTCTTCATTTGATCTTTCCGTCAGTATGTCTCCTAGATCGATACCTTTTATGATGATAATTATTATTACTGTGGTGAGAGCTGGATGCTAGCCGAAATTACTAGACAGTAATTTACGTCATTGTTCACATCCCCAGTATTGGTTATGAGAAAAATAACAAAAACAAAGACTGACTCAACAACCAATCACAGAAGACTTTGTTTGCGTAGGCGGATACAATTTGCAGGTAGATAATCTGAACTTCAAGAAACAACCACAAAGAGATGAAAGATTAACGTTCAGCGAGAAACCACCAATCAGAAGACTGTGTTAGTTTGCTTACAATAATTTATAATAATGTACATGGAAATCTATAAATATTTGTTGATTTCCTAAATTGCCTGGCCCTTGTCTTCTGTTGTTACATTATCATTCCCTTCAGTGAAACATAGAGCTTAAAAAGTCTTATTTAGTTGGCTCCAAAGTCACCCACAATCTCTCATCCCTTCTTCACACAATCTTCACGATGTCATTGTTAAACCCGCACTTATCTCATCGGTTATCATTCGAGTACCACTCAAGAAATTGGCATGCGGTGTCAGTTGAAGATCTCCCTCCTAGTTGGCTAACTTTCAGAGTTCTTTGCTGTTTACTCTCTCTGACCGGTAGGTCACCTGATATACAGTATCAACTGGTGACATCTGCTGATGAAAGTCTGTAGTGTATTCAACTGTTGGTCAATTCATTTGTGGCGAAAGCTGTCTGCAAGCCAAAATTGTGTGCAACAATTTACGTCAATGTTTACGTCTTTATTTTATTTCTTTAATTTTTATTTCAGCTTGATTCCACACCGTAATTTTTGGCACAGGTATTGAATTTTCAGCATATGATATCGGTAGACCAAATTTCGCAGGCCGACCAATTGATATCAGTTGTGGGTCGGCAGAGGATCGAATCCGGACAACGTGCATGGTCGGCGAGAGTCCTAACCACTGTGCCACCGACGTCCCGAATTTCGGTTAGGAGAGAAAACAAGAAAAAAGCCTAACCTTGAGCGACTGAACAACCAATCACAGCAGACTTAGCGTGGGCGGATACAATTCGCAGATATATCACCGGACTGTCTAAGAAACGGACGGCAACAAAGAGATGAGAGAATAACCTTCAGCGGGAAAACAACCAATTAGAAGATGTTGCTTCTCTGCTAACAATAACGAATGTACGAACAATGTACATAAAAATCTATAAATATCTGTTGATTTTCTCAATAAACAATGTGTTGCCTGACTCTTGTCTTCTGTTGTTACACATTTAGCATCGACTATTAACACACACACACACACACCATATGACCTTATAGTTTGCAAAGTCATAGATTGTCCGTCCAAAGTACAACAACTTACATTCTGCTTATATTCGAAGAGTGTCTAAAAGAAGTTTGATGATCACATGAAAGCATAGATTATCATCTAAGTAGTCTAATGATTTAACAAATATGATTGATATTCTGTTTTATATTAGTCGCTTGTCTCCAGACAGGTGTCAGTTTGAAAAAATTTAAGCGACTGATTACGGGTAGACGTCAGTTAGAGAACCATTGGAGCATCAAGGAGTACTACTGAACAACTGTTTCATCCTAGTTTGAGAGTCTTCATCAGTTTTTACCCAATGTAGTGCATATTTTCTGATCCTTTGAGCTTCGAGTAGAATAGCCTACTTTAAATCTGAGTTTTGATGTTTCACTAGCGGTGCTTTTTATAGGGAGGTGGTTGCTAGCCTCTTGTCCAACCTTTCCTCTTCAACGGAACTTACTACTCGGCTTAGCGATATTCAAGGAGGGCTTCGGACGTGAAAAGAACACGGACCACATTCATCCGTATCAGAAATCAGTATACTTTAATTAGTGCAAAGGAGAACCATCTTGTTTATACTAGTAGCTTTATCTAAGTTGTAGTAAAGCAGGCGCTTTGATCACTTGCAAGGGTAGAAGACTGGAAACATTTTGAGGAGCAGTTTAACTGACGTACAGATAAGTTGAATTTGACTACCTTCAAACACCTTCGACTGCAAAAGCTGTCGCTAATCCAAATCGAGGCGAGGCGAGGCAAGGCGACAGGAATTGATGGAATGACTCTAAAGGTATTTAATGGTGATGCAACTTAGTTTGGATTAACTAAGATAAGAGGCAATGTCTAGGAATCAGAAATATTTCAGTTTGACGGGTGTGATTCATTGATTATCCC